TACTGTTTCATTTAATATTCGTTTTTACCTGTGGGCCTATTGGCCTATGGCGGTCCGTCACATGGTGGACCAACTTAATCCAGACCCGGTGGGCCGTAGGATTAACATGCCAGCCTTGTCAGCCACATGCTGTTGGCATTCTAGTTTCCTTGTTTTTATCATGAAACTCACCACACCACAGGTACTCTTATTAACTTTTGGAAAATAATACAAATATGAAGAACAAAATGTATATGAGTCCAAACAAAGGTGAGGCCCCAAAATTATTACAAGCCCAGCAGAGAGCATTGTTCTTACTAGAAAGGTGGGGCACTGTCTGCTGGACCGGTAATAGTTCTAGTACCTTGATTAATTTTTAATTATTACTTATAAAAATGATAAAACTATTTTCAATATTCAATGCAATGGTTACACTTGGTCAATATAGGGCCGGTTTAGAGGGTAAACTATTTAAACCTCTGCCTAGAACCCCCCAAAAAGAAGGCCCCAATTTTATTTGCAATGTTTATCAAATGGTTTTATTTGGCCCAATAAAATTTAGGATTAATAAAGCCTATACATAGCAAAACTCATATTAAAAAAAGTAAAAATTAGAGTTAAATCCTCATGGATGAACTAATAATGACTTGACTCTGTTAAATAATCTTATTCGGTGATCAGTCTATTTTTTATCTTAATAATAAATACATAAGTCCACTATTTTTTAAAATCCTACACTTAACAATGTTATTATATTCGATTATAGAAATCTTAAAAAATTTGAAAATAGTTTTAAATTAATTTCCTAAATTAAAAATTATTATCTCTTAATTCACTCCTAAATTGAAATTCAAATTTATACTCTCTCTCTCTCTTTCTCTCTCTTTATATATATATAATTTTCACTAAATATTTTGGGGTCAAACTGTTTCAATGTCATCATGCACGGTATATATTCACTTTGTGGAGAGAAAAATCTCCTATGTTTACTATCTTATTTGCAGCTTCAATTTTTTTTTACTGATAATCTTTCTATTTTTTTTTTCTCATGTTACTATTTTTTATTGAGCATGTTATTACTTTTTTAGTGTTACTTTTTTGGATGCTGAAGAATTGGAGACTTTTTCCTCTGGTTATAAGTTTAAATGTTACTATTTTTATTTTCAATTTTATTCAATGTTTTGTATTGCTTTTGTTTGTTTGTTTAATATGTTATTATTTTTGTTGAACATATTACTATTTTTATTGAACATGTTACTATATTTGTTAAACATATTACTATTGTTATTTTTTTAAAATATTAATTAAAATATTACTATTTTTTATGTTTAAATATTACTATTTTTTGTGTGTTTAAATGGTATTAATTTTTGTGTTTAAATGAACTTTTTTTTTATATTTAAATGTTACTATTTTTTTATTTGTAATGTTTCTATATATATAGTCCTAACCTATATATGGATATAGATAAAAATGAGAGAGAAAAATTTTAATGTTAGTCAAACTCCTAAAATTTAATGATTTTTTAATTTTTAGTTTTACTTCAATTCCAAAGGGAAAGGATAATCCAGTACAATTGACAAAAAACGGACTTCATAATAAATAAATTTTTTTTGTAGACTTAAATCTAAATAAGTGGATCAACATCCAAATTTTCCTATAAAAAAATAGGGTTCAACTTCTCTCTCTTCATTAATGATAACACTTCTGTGTTTTTATTAATAACAATAAATAATTTCACATAATAAAAAATAGCATACATCTACACGACCAAAAAAACCCTCTCTCTCTCTCTCGGGAATGTCACAATTTGAAATCCACACAACTATAAAAAGAACACTAATGCTATTGAGATATAATTGAAAGACATAATTTGAGAGTATAATAAGTTGTCACCAATGAAATGATAGTGACATAATGGGTCTCATTGCAGCATTAATGAATTAATTATCATATCATTGGTGACAACTCATTATATCCTCAAATTATATCCATAAATTATGTCCCAATAGCATTGCTCTAAAAAGAAAAATAATAATTGCATTATCTACTTTACTAAGGAAAAACCCTAATACTGGTATACCATCTCTCTATCCCTGCATTAACAAATATATACATATAGATCACCTTATCCCTTCATTGAATTGCAAAAGCATTAAACTTCTTTTATTTAAAAATTTTATATTTTTAATATTATAATTTAATCAAATTTTATGGTTCTTCTTATTGCAATGGGTTAGTCATATTATCAACTAGAAAACATATATTATCGAAATTTGAATATAGGAACTTAATTATTAATTTTGCATCACGAAAAAGTTAGAACAATAATTTTTAATGAAATTTTAATCATATATCTTATATACTTATTATTATTTCTACTCTGGGCCTCAATTTTCATTAGGTTGCCTTAGGTCAATGAAAAACTTAGAAAATAGGTAAAGTAAACCTTATTTTTTTACATAAAGTAGTCATTACCCCTACATGGATGGATGATTGACTACATGGATGAATGATTATTAAATTTAATGGAGTTCATTTGTCTGTTTATTTATTATTAAATTATTATATTACATACATTGTTGACGTAGTATAATCATAACATCGAATATTTTCCCACTATGGACACCACTAAAGGATCTGGCTCCAGTAACAGAATTAGGTAAAATAGGTTATACAAAGAAACTAGTGGAAATTTTTATTCTTTTTTTTTTTCCAAAATTTAACAATTTTTTTTCTAGATTTTTTAGTCCAATAACGAGGGCGGATTAGTCTATTGGGCGGCTCAAGCCAATGGGCAAAACACACGGTGGCTCTACCTGTGGAGTAAATATTGGGAGTAACGGTAACACGATGACACCATTCAATAACAAACTAATAAATTGGTAAAGTAAATCTTACTTTTTTTTTTCAGGCTAATTACTAATCTAAGTGTGATTCACTTGGTTACCTGATAGATTCCTATCCGTGGGCCTATTGGCCTACCTGTGGTTCGTACGGCTAACATGCCAGATTGTGAGCCACACAATCTATTGGCCTATTTATTTTGTTTTTATCATTAAACTCACCACACGTACTCTTAACAACTTTTGGAAATATACTATATGAGTCCAAATTCCAAAAAGGTAAGGCCTACGTTTTACTAGTCCAGCAGACGCTGCCCCACCTTGGGTAGCAGATGAATATTTGCAGCCGAGTGTCCGGAAAATAAGATATATGTAATCTTTATGCACTTGTGGAGAAATTATTTATGTGACCTATATAAAAGTAAAAATTAACTTTGGTACCAAAAAAGTACCATACCAAAATTTACTACCTTTGTGTTTCAAAATACAATTTTTTAGGATCACTGTAGAATTAAAAAACAAATTAGAATTGATCCTAATAGTTTAAAATTGATAAGAAATATACAATTTTTAGGGTTAAGTTATACCTTTTTGGACATCAATTATAGTCTTTTGAGATTTTTAGAATCGATTCTAAATTTTAATGGTCGAACTCAAGCATTAAAAAATTATATAAAAACCTCAAAAAAATAGGATGTCCGAATATTTTTTGGATAACATAGAATTATCCAAAAAAAAAAGCTAACAATGTTTTCATACAAGTAAAATATTCAATGTAACGTTTACATCCTAGTCAATAGTACAACATAATGTCCACGATCAATGAAAAATTTAGAAAATAGACACAGTGAACCCCATTTGTTTACATAAAATAATTATTGGCCTACATGAATGGGTGACTATTGAATTTAGTCGAGTTGATTTGTCTGTTTAGTCACCTATTATTTAATTATTACACTATATAATATTATTAACATTGGTATAACCATGACATCGAACATACATCAATTAATTAATCTCTATTTTTGGAGTAAATATTGAGCGTAAAGGTGATACTATATTATCATTGACTCATGATATCACCATCTAATAATAAATTTATGAATAAATAAAATAAATCTCAGTTGGGTAATTATTAAATAACATGACCAGGTGGTTACTAGAATAAGTAAGATTCACCTGCTTAGTTGATATATTTTTATTAAATAATAACAGCACGTGATAATGCTGACGTAATATTACATTTATTAGGGATAACTCGTACTTAAAAGCACTGTAAATGAAAAATGATAGATTTGAGAGAAAAGTGGAAGGAGAATATTTATTGTTAATAAGTTTGAAAAAAATTTTAGGAGAGAGAGAGAGAGAGATTGTGTGCGTTTGCGTGCATGTGCGTGTTGGATAGGGGTGGGAGGCAGGTTGTTGGGGATTTTATGCCACTAGCTTCAAACCAAGACACTGAATAAATGAACATATTTGTGATGATTTGACCCATTGTGACAACCAATTTTGATCAATCACGGTCCTAGTTTTTGGAAAATCAAACAAATTCTTTAATTTTTTTTTATGATATAAAGATATTGTTTTCAATTTTTACTTTTTATTGATAAACTCACCAAGTAATTTTTTTTATTTAATTCTTATGATATAAAGACGGTTTTTTACTCTCAGTCTGTTTTTTTTTCCTATTCAAATTTTGTGTCCTAAGGATAAAATTCATATTTCCCAGACATAAATGGACAGTCCCAATAGATTTTGTTAGTCAACCTAACCGTTGACCATCATAGGGCCATAAAATATAAACTCAAACAACAAGGGTTACATTGTAATTTTAGAAGTGACGAAGGCCTTCCCATCAATTGTCAGAAAATGAAGCCGACGAGATATCCACTAAAAAAACGTGGGAAACACAATGAAGCTATATTTGAGTTTAATTTGGAGTTCATTTGGCATGCATGTAAGTTTCATTTGGTGTTTATTTAAGGAGCCTATGTGCCATTGTTAGTCAACACCAGTCAATGAGTTTTGAGAGGCGAAACCAAAGCACCTGACATCTATACAGCCTCAGTTCCAAAGATCTTTGATCAATTTTCTTACCGTCCCCAATTCTATTTCTACTTCCCCTCAACACCCTACCCCAAAGCCTGGTAACTTTCGAAAAAAGAAAGCTGAACAATGGCACAAACACCATTAGAAGTCTTCAATGGTATTAGAAAAGTTACAAGTCTTAACAAAGGCTACTCAAAGAAGGCCTATATAACATTTTTAGCAGGTAATGGAGACTTCATAAAAGGAGTGGTCGGATTGGCTAAAGGTTTGAGAAAGGTGAAAAGTGCATATCCTCTCGTGGTTGCAATCTTACCAGATGTGCCAGAAGAACATCGTGAGATTTTAAGGTCTCAGAATTGCATTGTTCGAGAGATTCAACCCGTTGACCCACCCAAAAACCACATTCAGTTTGCAGTGGCTTACTATGTTGTTCTCTACTCGAAACTTTGTGTATGGAATGTAAGTGAAGCCATAACACCATACTACAATATTAGAATAGGGAGAATTCTACGGTACCGAAAAACTTCTTTTGTGGTTTATTTTTATAATTTTTTAGGGCTTGTTATAATTTTTGATGACCATTTACAATTTTTAAGGATCATTTATAATATTTGAGGATCATTTACTAACTCTCGTGGTCATTTAAAAATGTTGAACTTCATCCTCAGAAACATGTCTGCTAAGACCTCCTTAGAGCATGGTTTTAGGTCTCAAGAGTATTATTGTAACACCGACACCCGGTATCATAAGTCAACAATAAGAAACTAATGTGAATACTGTACATCATATATGTTTATGTTGTAGTCATATGTAGGTTATATGCATATACATTGTGTGAATGTGTGTGTGGCACGCCATTCATATTTGTTCGCTCATGTGCATGCGTTTCACATCCGACTTGGACCATCCCAAGGCAGAAAATTAATCTAGTCGATCACTGTTATTGTATTGGTACTGGGTCTCAAAAAGCACTAGAACCTACTATCGATTCGATAATAGTAAGGGATTAAGTCGACAAATTAGGTACAAATTCACGAAGCACATTTTTTGCCAAGTTTTTAATGTAAAGATGCTCATGTATATGTAATTGCAGTTTGAGGAATATAGCAAGATGGTGTATTTAGATGCAGATGTCCAAGTTTTTGGCAACATCGACAATCTCTTTGATTTGCCAGATGGGTATTTCTACGGAGTGATGGACTGTTTCTGTGAGAAGTCATGGAGCCAATCACCACAGTACTCTATTGGGTATTGTCAGCAGTGCCCAGACAAGGTGAAATGGCCGGCGGAGATGGGTTCACCTCCTCCCTTGTACTTTAACGCTGGGATGTTCGTTTTTGAGCCAAGCCGTTTGACTTATGAAAGCCTTATTGAGGCTGTCCAAATCACTCCAACAGGACCGTTTGCAGATCAAGTGAGTTATATGTATTAGTCGATCTCTCAAAAAAGAGTCGTCTAGTATACGAGTTTTTCGTTATCTTGAAGAGGAAGCTATTTTTACAGTTCAATCCGTTGATACTATAGTTATAATAAAATAAGTTTGTCGTTTTATACCATCTACTTAAAATACGTAATATAATGACACGTAAGAAAGCATAAGGTACTGCGTATAACATTTAGCTAATTTGTAAATATTCAACAGAACTGTCATATCACATCATTATATTAATTGCCCATGCAACCATAATCCAATTACGTACAGACACATAGGACAGCATTCGTTTGTCTATACAATTTTGGTCTTTCATCCAAAGTGTTCCTAGTTTTTACCAAATCCAATCTGGCAGTATAAATGTACATATATATCCTTGTGTGTGCTCATAAAAATATTAAACATATATATACTAGTTATTTTTTATATCTAAAGGTACGAAATAATAAAAAAAATAGTCAACAATAAATATATTTGTATTCACGTCCAAAATCAAATTATAAATATAAAGAAAAAAAAAAAATTTAAGCACCAGTTATAGTGGACGCCAGAAGTGATTGAAAAAAATGGTGGCGGTGAGAAATAGTGATGGTTGTGATGGGTGATGATTACCAGATGTGATGGTAGCAGCCGTGGGTGACAACGATGATGGTGGTGGCTGTGGCGGTGGTAAGGTGACAACAATGGTTGTGGTGGTAGTTAAGAGGGGGGGGGATAGTGGGTATGGTGGTGGTGGTTATTGTGGAAGAAGTGGTGGTGCGGTGGCAGTGGTGGGCGTGGGGCGATAGGGGGGTGGTAGGATAGCAGTAACGGTGGTGATTGTAAGACGGTGGGGGTGGTGGTGGTGGGACAGTTCCAAACACTATTTTTTTTTATATATTTATGAGAAATTATAAGTCCTATAAACACTTTTAAAAAATTAATTCAACACACATCCTTAGGGGCTCATTTTCTCTATTAAATTTGGAGTGTTAATATTAACCGTCGGATTAACTTTAAAGTAAAATTTAAAGAGATCTCAACCGTGAAAAATAAAAAGTCTTTTTGTTTATCTTTTAATATTTTAAATTGTATTGTACTTTATTATATATATATCCTAGTTATTGTCTGTGCCTGAAGACGCAGAATAATAAAAAATAATAAACAATAAACATATTTGTATTCATATCTAAAATCAAATCACAAATATAGAAAAGAGATAAATGAATTTAAACATTGATTGTATTGAGGGTGAGAGGTGGTGGTGGTGGGCGGCGGCAACGACGAGGCGCGGGGGGGGGGGTGAGGGGGGCTTTTACGTACTTATGAGAAATAATCCGTAAAAATATTTTTAAAAGGTCACTTCAAACACACTCTTAGGGACCTATTTTTCTTATTAAATTTAGGATGTTAATATTAGTCGTTATATTAACTTTAAAGTAAAATTTAAAACGATATGAACTGAGAGAAACAAAATTCAATTTATTTATTTTTTAAAATTTAAATTATAAACTACTTAACTATATATCCGATATTCTCGCAGTTCTAGAAGAATTTCCCATGACCCGTCTACCTATGGAAACTGCTCAGCAGCACCTAGTTAGCATTTAAGGTGAAGCAGCCCCTTGTGCATTAAAGCAGCTATGTAGGATGCTTTGAGGGTGGGCAACCGGCCAGGCCACTGAGTCGGGCTGCAGCGGCCCATTAATCAATGGCCTTAGTTTGGCCACGGATTAGAGTAGCTTACCGAAAACAACTATGGCCCATGGACTGTCTATGGGCCAACACCAATAGGTCTTCATCAGCCTTTTCCAAATATTTTGATGTTTTGGTTCTAATTTGACATTTTTTAATACTTTTTTGAATTTATGAGATCAGTGGGCTCAACCCCGGGCCTATCCTTTGGACCAAGCGGTCCAAAAATCACAACCGGGGTTTAAAAAAAAAAAATCTATTTTTCTCTAATTCCTTTGTTCTCCTTGTATATACACGCTAGGATCTCTTGAACACATTCTTCCAAAAGATGTTCAAACCAATTCCTCTGGCCTACAATCTGGTTCTAGCTATGTTATGGCGCCACCCAGAAAAGCTGGAGCTCGAGAAGGTTAAAGTAGTACACTATTGTGCAGCAGTAAGTATTCTCTTTCTTCCCTAAAAAAAAAATCATGTATTTAATTATAATTAATTTAATTAAGCAATGATAAGTCAATTGCTTGGGGCTAATCGATGAATAGCAATTCCGAGACGTTTTTCATTTTCATAATCTGATTTTATTTTCGTTTTCTTAAAACAGGGATCAAAGCCATGGAGTTATACCGGCAAAGAACCTAACATGGATAGGATGGATGTCAAGATGTTGGTTAAGAAATGGTGGGATATTTATAACGATGNGGGGGGGGGGGGGGGTGAGGGGGGCTTTTACGTACTTATGAGAAATAATCCGTAAAAATATTTTTAAAAGGTCACTTCAAACACACTCTTAGGGACCTATTTTTCTTATTAAATTTAGGATGTTAATATTAGTCGTTATATTAACTTTAAAGTAAAATTTAAAACGATATGAACTGAGAGAAACAAAATTCAATTTATTTATTTTTTAAAATTTAAATTATAAACTACTTAACTATATATCCGATATTCTCGCAGTTCTAGAAGAATTTCCCATGACCCGTCTACCTATGGAAACTGCTCAGCAGCACCTAGTTAGCATTTAAGGTGAAGCAGCCCCTTGTGCATTAAAGCAGCTATGTAGGATGCTTTGAGGGTGGGCAACCGGCCAGGCCACTGAGTCGGGCTGCAGCGGCCCATTAATCAATGGCCTTAGTTTGGCCACGGATTAGAGTAGCTTACCGAAAACAACTATGGCCCATGGACTGTCTATGGGCCAACACCAATAGGTCTTCATCAGCCTTTTCCAAATATTTTGATGTTTTGGTTCTAATTTGACATTTTTTAATACTTTTTTGAATTTATGAGATCAGTGGGCTCAACCCCGGGCCTATCCTTTGGACCAAGCGGTCCAAAAATCACAACCGGGGTTTAAAAAAAAAAAATCTATTTTTCTCTAATTCCTTTGTTCTCCTTGTATATACACGCTAGGATCTCTTGAACACATTCTTCCAAAAGATGTTCAAACCAATTCCTCTGGCCTACAATCTGGTTCTAGCTATGTTATGGCGCCACCCAGAAAAGCTGGAGCTCGAGAAGGTTAAAGTAGTACACTATTGTGCAGCAGTAAGTATTCTCTTTCTTCCCTAAAAAAAAATCATGTATTTAATTATAATTAATTTAATTAAGCAATGATAAGTCAATTGCTTGGGGCTAATCGATGAATAGCAATTCCGAGACGTTTTTCATTTTCATAATCTGATTTTATTTTCGTTTTCTTAAAACAGGGATCAAAGCCATGGAGTTATACCGGCAAAGAACCTAACATGGATAGGATGGATGTCAAGATGTTGGTTAAGAAATGGTGGGATATTTATAACGATGAGTCACTTTAAAGCACACACATATGTGGGTCGGGATTGTTCTAAGTTGGAGTACTTCTATGTTGTTCTATTTATGCTTCACTTTTATTATGGTACTTGTCCTTTGTTTCCTTTTGGTGTGAGATTTGACAAATTAAGTGTAATTTTAATAGTGTTTGTTATTATCCCTATGCAAACATGTATTCTGAATAAAAGATCTACCAAGCGTACAAAACTTCCTTCTTTAACAAAATTTTAAAATAACAAGTGACAAAAAATATTACCCATATTCTAGAGTTCCTTTGCAATGCAGTCCATTCAAAATTTTATATAATACATACAAAACTAGATGGACAAAATGGGTTTATTGTGAACTACGTGTTTGGCAGAAGAAAGATTAAAGCAGGAAGGATTGCATTTTCTCTATCTTGTATCACATAAATATAGAAAAAATGGTAAAAGAAAGAAAGAAACAAACAAACAAACAAAGAGATAAGAGATTGTTGTTCATAGCGGTCATGAAAGCAAGGATGACACTGTGAAATGTTTCTTCTACAAATATATTCATTTGTTCAAATCGAGTAAGAAATTAATGAAATAATAAGTTCTAAAGTGACTTTTTTGGATTGTGAAAATAAAAGTAGTGCAATGTGAAATTTGACACCAATTTCATATTAGTTGAAGAAGAAATTTTACTTGTGCATATATTTACTAAGTTTGTTCTATGGGTTCGACCTCAAGAGATATCACAATTTTATGAGTGGAATGAGTGCTTATATGTCAGCTGTTCAACTACACAAGCGTGCCGCCTGCCCAACCGAGCTCGAGTGTGAGTGTAGTCAATCTTTATCTTTATGAAAAAAAAATTCATTTAACGAATTGGGCTAGAATTTCTTAATCTAGAATTTAATTTTTGTTATCCGTTGGTTTTTAAAATTCGCAATGGTTCGAATTTTTGTTTCCCTCCATTTCTAAATTTTTGAGTAAGAGTGTTCAAATTTTTAATTACCCACCTCAAATTCCGACACTACCCTACCTTATTCGATTCTATTGATCAACTGCCAGAAAGAATCGGATATGAATATAGGATACCTACAAATTTTTTATATTCCCACCCTACCATACCCTATATATATATGACTTTTTTTTTATATATTATGTATTGTTGTTTATGGTTTTCTTGTTGCATTTTATTGTAATTGTTTTGTATCATCGAATTTATTGTGTTTTCTTTAATATTATTGGTTTATTGTATTAGTTAATTAGTGCATTCTACTTAATTAAATTGTTAAAATGATTCAAAAATTAATAACTAAAAAATGTGTTCACCTGATTTCTTACACAACTTCTACCTGATTGTTTTGGACAAAATTTAGGTAGGATTAATAAACTTGATCATGGTAAGATGAACACCCTTATTTTTTAGTCTATTTTTGACAGTCACCAATTTCTCTATATATAAACCCAGAGTCATTGGCATTTTGCATCAATTTCATTATAGTCATTAAGGCATAATTTCGACATTAGAAAGTCTACATATTAGAAAGTACATGACACAAATTTTTGTTTGGTAGGCAATTGAATTGGAGTGCTACTTTCAGTTGCATAAATATCATTGTATCATAGGAGGTAGATACTTTGATTTTCATAAGCACTAAATATGAGAACCAAAATCTGTTTTAAGAATATAGTGTCAAACACTAGCCTTAATCTACAGAAAGCTCAATAACAGTCACTAATCTGCAAACGGGTCAATTTATATATTTGTTTAATTATAGATTTATGTGTTACAATTTCATTCTTAGTTGTAACTGTTTCGTTCTTGAATATCGCTATTTTATTCTCAATTGTATGATACAAATTAAAAATTTTAATAAGTAATTTTGCTATATTGACAAACCACAAACAACAGCTGCGACTCATGTTTGTAATTTCATGCTGATGGTGTCCGGATTTAATGTCCCAAACCCGGAGTTATAGTTGGGAATATCAGTGAGTAAATGGGTCTGTAGAGGGATCGATCTATAGGAAATGAACAAAGACAATATTTAAGTGGTTCAAGTTAGTTGAGCGACTAAGGCTACGTCCATTGTAAAAGAGTCTCTTATTCCGTGGAGATGTATATTTATACTACTAATAAAAGTGTTTTAACATGAAAAATTTTTAATTCACTGTTTTACCCTTATAAAGAATTCAGAAGACCACTCTATCATTCCACACTTATGTATTTAAATCTCTAAATTACATCTAAAATTAGTTATAATTATATATTCCCTATGTATAAATGTCAATTTTTATGAAACTTTTTGATTGATTATATTACTCTTAAAAAGTATACGCAACATTATAACTTTTAACAAAGTAGTTAATAAAACTTTCAAAAATTCCATCAATATGATATTATTCACCTCATTTATAAAAATAATATTATGACAACATATGTATATTTTATTTTTCATCAAAATGTATAACCATGTATGTATATTTTATTTTTCATAAAAAATGTTTAACCCTTTCATTTTTAAGATAAAAAATAATGTATATATAGTTTTACATAATTTTTTAGTCACAGTAAACTTTTTATATTGTGTTAGGATATTATGTGAAAATTTGAATTTTTTTAAAATTTTAATATACTTTATAATATATATGTTAACATTGTATATTAAATTTTATCTCAGTTTACCTAGATAAACCTAAATATAGTAAGGTTCTAATATGATTGGTATGTTGATAATTATTTTTTATTTTATTCAACGATTTATAATGGAATCTTAATCAAATTAATTTTTTAATCATCTATTATGTATTTATAAATGTCAATTTTTATGAAACTTTTTGATTGATTATATTACTCTTAAAAAATATATGCATTATTATAAGTTTTAAAATATTCAAAAAAAAAACCTTCAAAAACTCCATCAATATAATATTACCCATTTCATTTATAAAGATAATATTATGGCTACATATGTATATTTTGTTTTTTATCAAAATATTTAACCATTTNCCATCAATATAATATTACCCATTTCATTTATAAAGATAATATTATGGCTACATATGTATATTTTGTTTTTTATCAAAATATTTAACCATTTTATTTTTAAGATAAAAATTATGTATATATAGTTTTACATGATTTTTTAGTCAGAATATATATATATATATATATATTATACTAGTCCAGCAGACACTGCCCCACTTTTGCTAGCAGATGAATATTGCAGCTAAGAGTCTGAAATAAGATGTATGTAATCTTCTTGCACATGTAGATAAATTATTTCTGTGATCCGCATAGAAGTAAATTTTAACTTAGGTACCAAAGAAAATACGATACCTTTGTGTTTCAAAATACAATTTTTTAAGATCACGTTAGAATTTCAAAAAAAAATTAGAATTGATCCTAATAGTTTAAAATTGATAAGAAATATACAATTTTTAGGGTTAAATTATACTTTTTTGGACATCAATTACAGTCTTTTGAGTTTTTAGAATCGGTTCAAAATTTTAATGAACGAACTCAAACACTAAAAATTTATAACTAATCCTAAAAAAATTAAATAAAAACCTCCCAAAACAAGGATGTCACAATTTTTTTGGATGACATAGAATTATCTCCTATAGCACATAGCAAGAAACCNCAAAACAAGGATGTCACAATTTTTTTGGATGACATAGAATTATCTCCTATAGCACATAGCAAGAAACCAAAAAAAAAAAAGTTAACAATGCTATCAGACGAGTAAATATTCAATGTAACATTAACACCCTGGTCAATAATACAACATAATGTCAACGTTCAATGAAAGATTTAGAAAATAGATACAATGAACCCCATTTATTTACATAAAAATAATTATTGCCCTGCGTGATTATTGAATTTAGTGGACTTCATTTGACTATTTATATTCACTTATTATTGAATTATTACCCTATGTAATATTACCAACATTGGTATAACCATGACATCGAACATATACTAATTAATTAACCTTCATTTTTGGAGTAAGTATTGAGTGTAATAGTAATATTATGTCATGATTGACTTGTGATATTATCATTTAATAATAAACTTATAAATGAGTAAAGTGAACTCTACATGAGTGATTATTAAATGATACGGTCAGGTGGTTACTAAAATAGGTAAAATTCACTTGCTTATTTATTTTATTTTTATTAAATAAAATCATGTGTTAATACTGACGTAATATAAATGAGAAATAATGAAAAAATTCAACGTGAATTATTTTAAGACAGATAACTAAGTACATGAATCTGCCAAATAAACTTATTCGGTCCCCATGCCCCTGAGGAGGCAGAGACACCCACTCTCTCAAAACCTAAAGTCAATCACTGCTTCCGTCACTGAACTTCTCTAATACTGACCTCACGTTATGTAACCGTGGCCGTTGATTCTGAGGGTAAGGCTAGATTTGGATGGTAGATAGAACAACATAGAATTTCCATGGGTTCCTCCGTACAACTTACTATTCTTACACTAAGTTACATATGGCGTAAACAAGTACATATAAACAAGTTACTCCGTACAACTTACTATCCTACACTAAGATATCCCTTGTAGTTCCTAACAAGTACAGAAGGAAGCCTATCAAACTTTCCTGGTCAACGGTATGTCAACAAACTAATTCACTGAACCACTAAATTTATTAGATCACTCAAATGAAAACTATAAAATTCAGCAAACACACACAAAATTTTGGTTTATTACGAGTTCAATTCAAGGCTAATCTTGGGCTACAAAGGCCTTGGGCAATTTGCCTGAATTTTGATGCACATAGTAAGAAATTAGATCGAGCTAGAGAGAGAGAGAGAGAATGTGAGCGTGTGTGTGGGGTGCACGTGCATGTTGGATAGAGGTGGGAGGCAGGTTGTTGGTGATTTTATGCCACTGGTTTAAACCAATATACTGAATAAATGAAGATATTTGTGATGATTTGACCCATTGTAACAACCAATTTTGATCCTCAATTATTGATCAATCTTGGTCCTAGTTTTTTGAAAATCAAACATATTAATTGATTTTTTTATGATATAAAGATATAAAGGGAGCCTATGTGCAATTGTTAGTCCACACCAGTCAATGAGTTTTGAGAGGCCAAACCAAAGCACCTGTTTGACTTATGAAAGCCTTATTGAGGCTCTCCGAATCACTCCGACAGGACCGTTCGCAGAGCAAGTGAGTTATATGTATTAGGTTTTTTTTTTTTTACACTCTTGAAAAAAGGTGAGTGCAAAGAGAGCGTCCAAAAATTAGTCTGATAGGCTCTCACTAATGGGATTATAAAATCCTTAGCCGCACTCGTTACTTTTTTCGGAAACGAACCTAAATTATATGTATTAGTTGTGTGACATTTGATTTGTCAAAAAAATGTCTCCTAGTACATGAGTTTTTTATTATCTTGAGGTCCGAAAAGAGTTAAACATATACAATTTTACTTCCAATATATGAGAAAGCTATTTTTACAACTCAAATCGCGGATACTAAAGTTATAATAAAACAATTTTTTCGTTTTATACCATCTACTTAAAATTCCTAACATAATGACATGCAAGAAATATAAGGGACCCCATATAATATTTAACTAATTTGTAAATATTCAACAGAACAATCATATCACATCATCATATTAATTGATCCATACAATACCTATCCAATTATGTACAAACACATAGGACATCTGGTTGTTTGTCCATACAATTTTAGTCTTTCTTGTTTAAAGTGTCCTTAGTTTTTATCAAATTCAATCTCGCAACATAAATATGCACATATATCCATTTACGTGTGTTCATAAAAAATATTCAATCTCATAGTTGTACAAGAATTTCCCTTGACCATTCTTTCAATGGAAACAGCTCAGCAGCACCCAGGTAGAATGTAAGATAAAGCAGCTATATAAGATGCTGTGAGGGTGGGCAACGGGGAGAGTCAAATCGACTGCCCGCTGAGTCGATTTGACTCGCCCCGTTAGTCAATAACCAAAATTTGGTCATAAATTTGAGTAGCTTGCCAAAAAAAATTCAACACTAATACGTATTCGTCGAGCTTCAGTTAGAACTTGATATTTTTTTTTATATTTTTTTGAATTTATTGGACCAATGGACCTATCCACGGGCCTAACCTTTGGGCCAAGCAGTCCAAAAATCACAGTCGTGATTCAAAAACAAAAAAAAAATCTATTTTTTTCTCTAATTCCACTGTTCTTCTTGTATACACATGCTAGGATCTCTTGCACACATTCTTCCAAAAGATGTTCAAACCAATTCCTCTGGCCTACAACCTGGTTCTACCTATGTTACGGTGCTACCCAGAGAAGTTGGAGCTCGAGAAGGTTAAAGTAGTACGCTATTGTGCAACTCTAAGCATTCTCTCTCTTCCCTAAAAAAAAATCATGTATGTAATTATAATTAATTTAATTAAGCTAGGATAAGTCAATTGCTTGAAACCAATCAATGAATGACAATCCTGAGACGTTTTTCATTTTCAGTATCTGAATTTATTTTTGTTATGTTAAAACAGGGATCGAAGCCATTGAGTTATACAGGCAAAGAACCTAACATGGACAGGGTGGACGTAAAGATGTTGGTTAAGAAATGTTGGGATATTTATAACAATGAGTCACTTTAAAGCACAGATGTGGGTCGAGAGTGTTCTAAGTTGGAGTACTTCTATGTTGTTCTATCAATGCTTCACTTTTATTATGGTACTTGTCCTTTGTTTCCTTTTGGTGTGAGATTTGACAAATTAAGTGTAATTTCTTAAGAGTGTTTGTTACCATCTCCATGTAATCATGTATTCTGAATAAATATCTACTGTGTACAAAACTTCCTTCTTTAACAAAATTTTATATAATACTTACAAAACTAGATGGACTGTCAATGGGTTTATTGCGAATTACGGCTTTGGCACAAGAAAGATTAAAACAGGAAGGATTGCACTTTGTCTACCTTGCAGCACATAAAGATATAAAATTTGGGAAAGGAAAGAAACAAACAAAGAGAAATAAGAGATCATTGTTCGTAGCGGTCATGAAAGCAAGAAAGATGACAGTGTGAAATGTTTCTTTTGCAAGAGGAGTTGCATCCCAAGAAGGATTGTCAAAAATGATAGAATTTGTTTGAAAAGAAAGGAGATTATCTTACCCTTGTATCTTATGTAATCAATTTGATTGAAGTTTCTTCTAATACTTAGTGATTAGACTCGGGTGTTACGATTCATGTTTATAATTTCATGCAAAGATACCTTTCAAGCAGGAAACTAAATGAAAGAGAAAAAATCAATTAGTCATTGGAAATAGAGTGAAGTCCGAAGCCAAAGCTATTGGAATTATTGTGTATGAATATATTCCAATCTAATTAGATTTTGAAAATGACGGATTTCGGCTTGGGCCGTCCATTCGAAGCCTAAAATATGGGATTAATGATAGATTTCAGCTTGGGCCACCCATCCAATAATAGATTTCAGCTTGGGCCACCCATCCAAAGCCCAGAACATTCAATGGGCTCCCTGNTTTTTTATTATCTTGAGGTCCGAAAAGAGTTAAACATATACAATTTTACTTCCAATATATGAGAAAGCTATTTTTACAACTCAAATCGCCGATACTAAAGTTATAATAAAACAATTTTTTCGTTTTATACCATCTACTTAAAATTCCTAACATAATGACATGCAAGAAATATAAGGGACTCCATATAATATTTAACTAATTTGTAAATATTCAACAGAACAATCATATCACATCATCATATTAATTGATCCATACAATACCTATCCAATTATGTACAAACACATAGGACATCTGGTTGTTTGTCCATACAATTTTAGTCTTTCTTGTTTAAAGTGTCCTTAGTTTTTATCAAATTCAATCTCGCAACATAAATATGCACATATATCCATTTACGTGTGTTCATAAAAAATATTCAATCTCATAGTTGTACAAGAATTTCCCTTGACCATTTTTTCAATGGAAACAGCTCAGCAGCACCCAGGTAGAATGTAAGATAAAGCAGCTATATAAGATGCTGTGAGGGTGGGCAACGGGGAGAGTCAAATCGACTGCCCGCTGAGTCGATTTGACTNATGTAAGATAAAGCAGCTATATAAGATGCTGTGAGGGTGGGCAACGGGGAGAGTCGAATCGACTGCCCGCTGAGTCGATTTGACTCGCCCCGTTAGTCAATAACCAAAATTTGGTCATAAATTTGAGTAGCTTGTCAAAAAAATTTCAACACTAATACGTATTCATCGAGCTTTAGTTAAAATTTGATATTTTTTTTATATTTTTTTGAATTTATTGGACCAATGGACCTATCCACGGGCCTAACCTTTGGGCCAAGCAGTCCAAAAATCACAGTCGTGATTCAAAAACAAAAAAAAAAAATCTATTTTTTCTCTAATTCCACTGTTCTTCTTGTATACACATGCTAGGATCTCTTGCACACATTCTTCCAAAAGATGTTCAAACCAATTCCTCTGGCCTACAACCTGGTTCTACCTATGTTACGGCGCTACCCAGAGAAGTTGGAGCTCGAGAAGGTTAAAGTAGTACGCTATTGTGCAGTTCTAAGCATTCTCTCTCTTCCCTCGAAAAAAATCATGTGTTTAATATAATTAATTTAATTAAGCTATGATAAGTCAATTGCTTGGGGCCAATCGATGAATAGCAATTCCGAGACGTTTTTCATTTTCATAATCTGATTTTATTTTCGTTTTCTTAAAACAGGGATCAAAGCCATGGAGTTATACCGGCAAAGAACCTAACATGGATAGGATGGATGTCAAGATGTTGGTTAAGAAATGGTGGGATATTTATAACGATGAGTCACTTTAAAGCACACACATATGTGGGTCGGGATTGTTCTAAGTTGGAGTACTTCTATGTTGTTCTATTTATGCTTCACTTTTATTATGGTACTTGTCCTTTGTTTCCTTTTGGTGTGAGATTTGACAAATTAAGTGTAATTTTAATAGTGTTTGTTATTATCCCTATGCAAACATGTATTCTGAATAAAAGATCTACCAAGCGTACAAAACTTCCTTCTTTAACAAAATTTTAAAATAACAAGTGACAAAAAATATTACCCATATTCTAGAGTTCCTTTGCAATGCAGTCCATTCAAAATTTTATATAATACATACAAAACTAGATGGACAAAATGGGTTTATTGTGAACTACGTGTTTGGCAGAAGAAAGATTAAAGCAGGAAGGATTGCATTTTCTCTATCTTGTATCACATAAATATAGAAAAAATGGTAAAAGAAAGAAAGAAACAAACAAACAAACAAAGAGATAAGAGATTGTTGTTCATAGCGGTCATGAAAGCAAGGATGACACTGTGAAATGTTTCTTCTACAAATATATTCATTTGTTCAAATCGAGTAAGAAATTAATGAAATAATAAGTTCTAAAGTGACTTTTTTGGATTGTGAAAATAAAAGTAGTGCAATGTGAAATTTGACACCAATTTCATATTAGTTGAAGAAGAAATTTTACTTGTGCATATATTTACTAAGTTTGTTCTATGGGTTCGACCTCAAGAGATATCACAATTTTATGAGTGGAATGAGTGCTTATATGTCAGCTGTTCAACTACACAAGCGTGCCGCCTGCCCAACCGAGCTCGAGTGTGAGTGTAGTCAATCTTTATCTTTATGAAAAAAAAATTCATTTAACGAATTGGGCTAGAATTTCTTAATCTAGAATTTAATTTTTGTTATCCGTTGGTTTTTAAAATTCGCAATGGTTCGAATTTTTGTTTCCCTCCATTTCTAAATTTTTGAGTAAGAGTGTTCAAATTTTTAATTACCCACCTCAAATTCCGACACTACCCTACCTTATTCGATTCTATTGATCAACTGCCAGAAAGAATCGGATATGAATATAGGATACCTACAAATTTTTTATATTCCCACCCTACCATACCCTATATATATATGACTTTTTTTTTATATATTATGTATTGTTGTTTATGGTTTTCTTGTTGCATTTTATTGTAATTGTTTTGTATCATCGAATTTATTGTGTTTTCTTTAATATTATTGGTTTATTGTATTAGTTAATTAGTGCATTCTACTTAATTAAATTGTTAAAATGATTCAAAAATTAATAACTAAAAAATGTGTTCACCTGATTTCTTACACAACTTCTACCTGATTGTTTTGGACAAAATTTAGGTAGGATTAATAAACTTGATCATGGTAAGATGAACACCCTTATTTTTTAGTCTATTTTTGACAGTCACCAATTTCTCTATATATAANATAGATTTCAGCTTGGGCCACCCATCCAAAGCCCAGAACATTCAATGGGCTCCCTGGTTACATAGCAGCCCAAACGACCCATCCGCAGCCTGCCCATTCCACCATAAGAATGGGCCACAACCCAAGAAAGGGAGTCCAACGACGCCCAGATTGATATATGTCTGCTCAGCCACATTAAGCTCTCGGAGGAGATCAGCTCAGGAACAAAGAGTTTGGTATTCGTCAGATCTCAAGCATATCTCGTCGCGCCACGTGTCCAAGGGACAACTGTTGGAGCCCCTATAACAAACATGTATTCCTTGATGAAGAGAATATTTGCACACATTCCGTTTTAAATATCATGGGCACAACTTGCATCGCAGGCACCACCACAGGACAAAGGAAAAGAGGACCACCGAATTAGCCAAGAGAAGGAAGGAATCGTAGAAAACCCTAAAGAATAATATATATAAATAGAACATGGATATACTGTATAGGGGGGGGTTTCCAAGAAAATTGTATTCACCAAACACTACATACAAAGGCTCCAAGCCAAGAAACCCACTGTAATTTTTTTCTTCAAGCAATATAACTCTAGGGAGCAAGAGTCTCTATTGCAGTGGACGTAGTCTTAGTCTTTCGACTAAAATGAACCACTTATATCTTGTTTTTGATCCAACATTTTCTCTTGCTTCCTTATTAACCTAAATATTCACATTACTCCCTACTGGGTCTTGCATAATCACTGTTCTGCACTTGGGCTAAGTAATTTCGAGCACCATCAGCTCCCTTGGTCACATGAAACTCATTCGTAACATGCCCACCCTGCTATAAAACTGGGCCACAACCCCAAAAAAGGAGTCCAATGACGTCTAGATTGGTATATACCTGCTCAATCATGTAAAGCTTGGTGGAGTAGACCAATCCGGGAACTAAGAGCTCGGTACGTAACAGATCTCAATCATCTCCCGTCGTGCCACGTGTCTAGGGGAAAGAGGGACAACTTCTAGAGCCCCTAACGAACACGCACTCCCTAGTAAAGGGAATATTTTTACATATACTATTTTAAGTATCGTGGACATAACGTGCATCAAAACACCACTACAAGACAAAGGAAGAAGAAACCACAAAATCAACCAAGAAAAGAAGGAATGAAAGAAAATTCTAGATGACCACTTGTATAAATAAAATATGAATGNAGGGACAACTTCTAGAGCCCCTAACGAACACGCACTCCCTAGTAAAGGGAATATTTTTACATATACTATTTTAAGGATCGTGGACATAACGTGCATCAAAACACTACTACAAGACAAAGGAAGAAGAAACCACAGAATCAACCAAGAAAAAGAAGGAATGAAAGAAAATTCTAGATGACCACTTGTATAAATAAAATATGAATGTGTTGTACAAGGGGAGTTCCAGAAAATTGTTTTCACAATATACTATGTTTAAAGGCTCTAAGACAAAAAACCCACTGTAATTTTCTTCTTCAAGTAATATAAACCCCAAAGAATAAGAATCTCAATTGCAGTGGATATAACCTTGATCTTTCGGTTAAAGTAAACAATTTAGATCANCGACAAAAAACTCACTGTAATTTTCTTCTTCAAGTAATATAAACTCCAAAGAATAAGAATTTCAATTGCAGTGGATATAACCTTGGTCTTTCGGTTAAAGTAAACAATTTAGATCAATGTTTTTGGTCCAATATCACCCCTTATTTCCTTATTAACCCAAATATTCACACTTCCCCACTGAGCCTCACAAAGTCGCTGTTANAGACAAAAAACCCACTGTAATTTTCTTCTTCAAGTAATATAAACCCCAAAGAATAAGAATCTCAATTGCAGTGGATATAACCTTGATCTTTCGGTTAAAGTAAACAATTTAGATCAATGTTTTTGGTCCAATATCACCCCTTACTTCCTTATTAACCCAAATATTCACACTTCCCCACTGAGCCTCACAAAGTCGCTGTTATGCACTTGGGCTTAGCATTTTTGAGCACCATCAGATTTTATTTGGAGAAGTTCTTGTATACCACGTCACTGTGAGAACAAGGTTTGGACTCTTTTTTTTGTCTTTGCCAAGACTTACATGTAATATATGCATCCTTTGTCTAGAAGCGTTGTGAATNTGAGAACAAGGTTTGGACTCTTTTTTTCGTCTTTGCCAAGACTTACATGTAATATATGCATCCTTTGTCTAGAAGCGTTGTGAATTAAGAGGCGGAATTCGGTCTTACGACGAAGTTTGGGTTTTTGTTTTTTTGTTTTAAGTTTTTTTTGTGAACACCAATTTTAATGAGAAGAAGATTTTATAAGCACCATTNATTAAGAGGCGGAATTCGGTCTTACGACGAAGTTTGGGTTTTTGTTTTTTTGTTTTAAGTTTTTTTTGTGAACACCAATTTTAATGAGAAGAAGATTTTATAAGCACCATTAATTTTGTAGTAGTAATAGAGCATAAATATGTTCTCTTATTACTTGTTGAGAATAGTTTTATAAACTCCAACATTTGATAGTAAAATCATGCAAATGTGCTTCGTTGGTGGACGTAAACTTGTTAAATCAAACCACATAAATTTAAATTTTCATTTTTCTATTTCATCCCATTATTATTTTGTTTGTGACTTTTATTCGTAACAAACTGAAATCAGGGCTTTCTAAAATATGGTTGTTGACCAATTAATTCATGAAGTACACAACAACACCCACCTCTGTTTTTTAGAAATGATAGTCCACTAAAACTTTTATTAAATTTTTGGATTTTATTAAATTTTTGATACAAATGCTACCATAAAATAATTAGTGAGCGTTTATAAGACCTACTGATCCTATGGTGGCGGCGGTGGTACTGGTGATGGTGGGGGTGGTGGGACAATTCCAAAAATNATTTAGAAAATAGATACAATGAACCCCATTTATTTACATAAAAATAATTATTGCCCTGCGTGATTATTGAATTTAGTGGACTTCATTTGACTATTTATATTCACTTATTATTGAATTATTACCCTATGTAATATTACCAACATTGGTATAACCATGACATCGAACATATACTAATTAATTAACCTTCATTTTTGGAGTAAGTATTGAGTGTAATAGTAATATTATGTCATGATTGACTTGTGATATTATCATTTAATAATAAACTTATAAATGAGTAAAGTGAACTCTACATGAGTGATTATTAAATGATACGGTCAGGTGGTTACTAAAATAGGTAAAATTCACTTGCTTATTTATTTTATTTTTATTAAATAAAATCATGTGTTAATACTGACGTAATATAAATGAGAAATAATGAAAAAATTCAACGTGAATTATTTTAAGACAGATAACTAAGTACATGAATCTGCCAAATAAACTTATTCGGTCCCCATGCCCCTGAGGAGGCAGAGACACCCACTCTCTCAAAACCTAAAGTCAATCACTGCTTCCGTCACTGAACTTCTCTAATACTGACCTCACGTTATGTAACCGTGGCCGTTGATTCTGAGGGTAAGGCTAGATTTGGATGGTANGTCAATCACTGCTTCCGTCACTGAACTTCTCTAATACTGACCTCACGTTATGTAATCGTGGCCGTTGATTCTGAGGGTAAGGCTAGATTTGGATGGTAGATAGAACAACATAGAATTTCCATGGGTTCCTCCGTACAACTTACTATTCTACACTAAGTTACATATGGCGTAAACAAGTACATATAAACGAGTTACTCCGTACAACTTACTATTCTACACTAAGATATCCCTTGTAGTTCCTAACAAGTACAGAAGGAAGCCTATCAAACTTTCCTGGTCAACGGGATGTCAACAAACTAATTCACTGAACCACTAAATTTATTAGATCACTCAAATGAAAACTATAAAATTCAGCAAACACACACAAAATTTTGGTTTATTACGAGTTCAATTCAAGGCTAATCTTGGGCTACAAAGGCCTTAGGCAATTTGCCTGAATTTTGATGCACATAGTAAGAAATTAGGTCGAGCTAGAGGGAGAGAGAGAGAGAATGTGAGCGTGTGTGTGGGGTGCACGTGCATGTTGGATAGAGGTGGGAGGCAGGTTGTTGGTGATTTTATGCCACTGGTTTAAACCAATATACTGAATAAATGAAGATATTTGTGATGATTTGACCCATTGTAACAACCAATTTTGATCCTCAATTATTGATCAATCTTGGTCCTAGTTTTTTGAAAATCAAACATATTAATTGATTTTTTTATGATATAAAGATATAAAGGGAGCCTATGTGCAATTGTTAGTCCACACCAGTCAATGAGTTTTGAGAGGCCAAACCAAAGCACCTGTTTGACTTATGAAAGCCTTATTGAGGCTCTCCGAATCACTCCGACAGGACCGTTCGCAGAGCAAGTGAGTTATATGTATTAGGTTTTTTTTTTTTTACACTCTTGAAAAAAGGTGAGTGCAAAGAGAGCGTCCAAAAATTAGTCTGATAGGCTCTCACTAATGGGATTATAAAATCCTTAGCCGCACTCGTTACTTTTTTCGGAAACGAACCTAAATTATATGTATTAGTTGTGTGACATTTGATTTGTCAAAAAAATGTCTCCTAGTACATGAATTTTTTATTATCTTGAGGTCCGAAAAGAGTTAAACATATACAATTTTACTTCCAATATATGAGAAAGCTATTTTTACAACTCAAATCGCCGATACTAAAGTTATAATAAAACAATTTTTTCGTTTTATACCATCTACTTAAAATTCCTAACATAATGACATGCAAGAAATATAAGGGACTCCATATAATATTTAACTAATTTGTAAATATTCAACACAACAATCATATCACATCATCATATTAATTGATCCATACAATACCTATCCAATTATGTACAAACACATAGGACATCTGGTTGTTTGTCCATACAATTTTAGTCTTTCTTGTTTAAAGTGTCCTTAGTTTTTATCAAATTCAATCTCGCAACATAAATATGCACATATATCCATTTACGTGTGTTCATAAAAAATATTCAATCTCATAGTTGTACAAGAATTTCCCTTGACCATTCTATCAATGGAAACAGCTCAGCAGCACCCAGGTAGAATGTAAGATAAAGCAGCTATATAAGATGCTGTGAGGGTGGGCAACGGGGAGAGTCAAATCGACTGCCCGCTGAGTCGATTTGACTCGCCCCGTTAGTCAATAACCAAAATTTGGTCATAGATTCGAGTAGCTTGCCAAAAAAAATTCAACACTAATACGTATTCGTCGAGCTTCAGTTAGAACTTGATATTTTTTTTTATATTTTTTTGAATTTATTGGACCAATGGACCTATCCACGGGCCTAACCTTTGGGCCAAGCAGTCCAAAAATCACAGTCGTGATTCAAAAACAAAAAAAAAAAATCTATTTTTTCTCTAATTCCACTGTTCTTCTTGTATACACATGCTAGGATCTCTTGCACACATTCTTCCAAAAGATGTTCAAACCAATTCCTCTGGCCTACAACCTGGTTCTACCTATGTTACGGTGCTACCCAGAGAAGTTGGAGCTCGAGANTCTATTTTTTTCTCTAATTCCACTGTTCTTCTTGTATACACATGCTAGGATCTCTTGCACACATTCTTCCAAAAGATGTTCAAACCAATTCCTCTGGCCTACAACCTGGTTCTACCTATGTTACGGTGCTACCCAGAGAAGTTGGAGCTCGAGAAGGTTAAAGTAGTACGCTATTGTGCAACTCTAAGCATTCTCTCTCTTCCCTAAAAAAAAATCATGTATGTAATTATAATTAATTTAATTAAGCTAGGATAAGTCAATTGCTTGAAACCAATCAATGAATGACAATCCTGAGACGTTTTTCATTTTCAGTATCTGAATTTATTTTTGTTATGTTAAAACAGGGATCGAAGCCATTGAGTTATACAGGCAAAGAACCTAACATGGACAGGGTGGACGTAAAGATGTTGGTTAAGAAATGTTGGGATATTTATAACAATGAGTCACTTTAAAGCACAGATGTGGGTCGAGAGTGTTCTAAGTTGGAGTACTTCTATGTTGTTCTATCAATGCTTCACTTTTATTATGGTACTTGTCCTTTGTTTCCTTTTGGTGTGAGATTTGACAAATTAAGTGTAATTTCTTAAGAGTGTTTGTTACCATCTCCATGTAATCATGTATTCTGAATAAATATCTACTGTGTACAAAACTTCCTTCTTTAACAAAATTTTATATAATACTTACAAAACTAGATGGACTGTCAATGGGTTTATTGCGAATTACGGCTTTGGCACAAGAAAGATTAAAACAGGAAGGATTGCACTTTGTCTACCTTGCAGCACATAAAGATATAAAATATGGGAAAGGAAAGAAACAAACAAAGAGAAATAAGAGATCATTGTTCGTAGCGGTCATGAAAGCAAGAAAGATGACAGTGTGAAATGTTTCTTTTGCAAGAGGAGTTGCATCCCAAGAAGGATTGTCAAAAATGATAGAATTTGTTTGAAAAGAAAGGAGATTATCTTACCCTTGTATCTTATGTAATCAATTTGATTGAAGTTTCTTCTAATACTTAGTGATTAGACTCAGGTGTTACGATTCATGTTTATAATTTCATGCAAAGATACCTTTCAAGCAGGAAACTAAATGAAAGAGAAAAAATCAATTAGTCATTGGAAATAGAGTGAAGTCCGAAGCCAAAGCTATTGGAATTATTGTGTATGAATATATTCCAATCTAATTAGATTTTGAAAATGACGGATTTCGGCTTGGGCCGTCCATTCGAAGCCTAAAATATGGGATTAATGATAGATTTCAGCTTGGGCCACCCATCCAATAATAGATTTCAGCTTGGGCCACCCATCCAAAGCCCAGAACATTCAATGGGCTCCCTGGTTACATAGCAGCCCAAACGACCCATCCGCAGCCTGCCCATTCCACCATAAGAATGGGCCACAACCCAAGAAAGGGAGTCCAACGACGCCCAGATTGATATATGTCTGCTCAGCCACATTAAGCTCTNCCTGCTCGGCCACATTAAGCTCTCGGAGGAGATCAGCTCAGGAACAAAGAGCTCGGTATTCGTCAGATCTCAAGCATATCTCGTCACGCCACGTGTCCAGGGGACAACTATTGGAGCCCCTATAACGAACATGTATTCCTTGATGAAGAGAATATTTGCACACATTCCGTTTTAAATATCATGGGCACAACTTGCATCGCAGGCACCACCACAGGACAAAGGAAAAGAGGACCACCGAATTAGCCAAGAGAAGGAAGGAATCGTAGAAAACCCTAAAGAATAATATATATAAATAGAACATGGATATACTGTATAGGGGGGGGTTTCCAAGNAGAAGAAATCGCAGAAAACCCTAAAGAATAATATATATAAATAGAACATGGATATACTGTATAGGGGGGTTTCCAAGAAAATTGTATTCACCAAACACTACATACAAAGGCTCCAAGCCAAGAAACTCACTGTAATTTTTTTCTTCAAACAATATAACTCTAGGGAGCAAGAGTCTCTATTGCAGTGGACGTAGTCTTAGTCTTTCGACTAAAATGAACCACTTATATCTTGTTTTTGATCCAACATTTTCTCTTGCTTCCTTATTAACCTAAATATTCACATTACTCCCAACTGGGTCTTGCATAATCACTGTTCTGCACTTGGGCTAAGTAATTTCGAGCACCATCAGCTCCCTTGGTCACATGAGACTCATTCGTAACATGCTCACCCCGCTATAAAACTGGGCCACAACCCCAAAAAATGAGTCCAATGACGTCTAGATTGGTATATACCTGCTCGATCATGTAAAGCTTGGTGGAGTAGACCAATCCGGGAACTAAGAGCTCGGTACGTAACAGATCTCAATCATCTCCCGTCGTGCCACGTGTCTAGGGGAAAGAGGGACAACTTCTAGAGCCCCTAACGAACACGCACTCCCTAGTAAAGGGAATATTTTTACATATACTATTTTAAGGATCGTGGACATAACGTGCATCAAAACACTACTACAAGACAAAGGAAGAAGAAACCACAGAATCAACCAAGAAAAAGAAGGAATGAAAGAAAATTCTAGATGACCACTTGTATAAATAAAATATGAATGTGTTGTACAAGGGGAGTTCCAGAAAATTGTTTTCACAATATACTATGTTTAAAGGCTCTAAGACAAAAAACCCACTGTAATTTTCTTCTTCAAGTAATATAAACCCCAAAGAATAAGAATCTCAATTGCAGTGGATATAACCTTGATCTTTCGGTTAAAGTAAACAATTTAGATCAATGTTTTTGGTCCAATATCACCCCTTACTTCCTTATTAACCCAAATATTCACACTTCCCCACTGAGCCTCACAAAGTCGCTGTTATGCACTTGGGCTTAGCATTTTTGAGCACCATCAGATTTTATTTGGAGAAGTTCTTGTATACCACGTCACTGTGTGAGAACAAGGTTTGGACTCTTTTTTTCGTCTTTGCCAAGACTTACATGTAATATATGCATCCTTTGTCTAGAAGCGTTGTGAATTAAGAGGCGGAATTCGGTCTTACGACGAAGTTTGGGTTTTTGTTTTTTTGTTTTAAGTTTTTTTTGTGAACACCAATTTTAATGAGAAGAAGATTTTATAAGCACCATTAATTTTGTAGTAGTAATAGAGCATAAATATGTTCTCTTATTACTTGTTGAGAATAGTTTTATAAACTCCAACATTTGATAGTAAAATCATGCAAATGTGCTTCGTTGGTGGACGTAAACTTGTTAAATCAAACCACATAAATTTAAATTTTCATTTTTCTATTTCATCCCATTATTATTTTGTTTGTGACTTTTATTCGTAACAAACTGAAATCAGGGCTTTCTAAAATATGGTTGTTGACCAATTAATTCATGAAGTACACAACAACACCCACCTCTGTTTTTTAGAAATGATAGTCCACTAAAACTTTTATTAAATTTTTGGATTTTATTAAATTTTTGATACAAATGCTACCATAAAATAATTAGTGAGCGTTTATAAGACCTACTGATCCTATGGTGGCGGCGGTGGTACTGGTGATGGTGGGGGTGGTGGGACAATTCCAAAAACTATATATATTTTTTTTAAAGTATATATGAGAAGTTATAAGTTTTAAAAGCATTTTTAAAAAATTATTTCAAACACACCCTAGGAACCTATTTTCCTTATTACATTTGGCTCGACTAATGTTTGCCTTGTAAAGGGCTCAACTTTTAAACAAACTGGGCTCAAATAATTTTTTTAACTCGTTTATATGTAAAATAATTGAACTAGTCAGATTTAACTCGTTTTTGAAACTAGCCAAATTTGAATAATTTTTTATACTTATTTAAAAAAACAAGTACAACAGATCAAGTCTGGTGAACTTGCAAAACTCGACTTAATTACCAACCCTAGGTACAAGCATACCCGTCTGAATATACACATGCTAGGATTTCTTGAACATATTCTTCCAGAAGATTTTCAAACCAACTCCTCNGTACAAGCATACCCGTCTGAATATACACATGCTAGGATTTCTTGAACATATTCTTCCAGAAGATTTTCAAACCAACTCCTCTGGCCTACAACCTGATTCTAGCTATGCAATGGCACCACCCAGATAAGGTTGAACACGAGTAGGTTAAAGTAGTACACTATTGTGGAGAAGCTGTAAGAAGTTTCTCTCTTCCCTCAAAATACAGAAGTGATCCCCTCCAATACACTTTCTGTTCAATTCCTTTCTTGACACATTATCTATCATGCATTCAAATGAGACTCATTATATACAAGTGAGTCGTTCACTCATCAATAGTGAATCCTTCGGTCATTAATAATGGATAATGTGTCAAGAAAGAAATTGAAAAAAAATTATTGAAGAGGATGTAGATCCTAGAATACATAGTCTTGATTCATTTTTAATGCATGATTTCTCTTTCTTGATCTTATTTTTGTTTTCGTGAAAAAATAGGGATCAAAGCCATGGAATTATACATGTATAGGGAGGATGCAAGGATGTTGATTAAGAAATGGTGGGACATTTATAAAGATGATTCACTNTGGCGAAGAAGCTAACATGTATAGGGAGGATGCAAGGATGTTGATTAAGAAATGGTGGGACATTTATAAAGATGATTCACTTGATTTCATGCAGGGCCTCCCTTTCGGAGCCTGAAATTTCCTACATTCCTGCATCCTCTGCTGCTTAATTTGAACCAAAGAGATGGGGCTCAAGAGTGTTGTGGGTTGGAGTAATTCTATTGTGGTCTAAATTTCTATTTATGCTTTTATTTTCTTTGGCTACCTTGGCCCTTTTTTCCTTTTGGTGACATTTGGCAAGTGTAATTTCTTAAATGTGTTTTGTGTTATTATCTCTTTTTTTTTTTTTTTAGTTTAACGGTAAGAGATTTTCAAATGAACTTACATGCACCTCAACTAATCCCCTCTCCAATCCGATCAAAGGCAAATCATCTATACCGGAACTAGGGTATTTAAGAGGGATAAATTCCTTGTAGCCGGATCCTAAAAGATTGTCAAGATTCGAACTTAGCATGTCTGAGTTTACAATCGTCATGTTCTTACTTGAGTTATCCCTTCGGGTTTTTGTGTTATTATCTCCATGTAACTATGTACTTGGAATAAAAGTCTTAACGAGTGTACAAGACTTTTCTCAAGATCTGAAATACTACGTGACACAATACCTTATCTACATTTTACTTGCAAAAAAATGTAAAATCTCCTTGTCATAACCATAATGAAATCTCTCTTTGTCACTCGTGATTATTTCTTGAAGTTGTAAGAACCCTACAGCGTTAGGTGGCTTCTCAGAATCTATGCAACTCTTACAGTGTTTTGATCCTATTTCATATGCACGTCCTCCAAAATCTCTCTCACTCTCTTTCATTGCACAAGTAATCAAGACATCTCCCGGGGCCTAAAGGTCCAAAATATCAGGCAAAAAAACAGAGAATAGCAAACTAACTTGCATTTTTCAGCATCGCCTTAATAATTAAGATTTATAATGGCATTCATACTATATTTCAGAAGTTGGTAGGATGCATGATGCAAAGATTACCTCATGAATCCAGAGAACTAAAAGCTTCCTCATCTTCTTCATATTCCTCGGCTAGATCATCTGGTTCCGGGATGCGTTCATCCTCAAAAAGAAAAGGTGCATGTTCTCTGCTTCTTTGAGGCTTCCTGTCATTTAGTTCTATGACAGAAATAATCCTTTCTTTAATGCAATTTTCAACAATTTCTCTTTCCATGTCTTGACTTTGCAATCCAAGTAGAGAAAAGCATTCTTTTCGAAAGTCCGAGTCACTGGAAGATAAAACCAGGCCAGCAATTGTTGTTGCAAGATCAGGGGCATAACCGCGGATCTGCAAAAAGAAATGAAATGAATGTCAGAACATGTACAGAAAACATTGACAGATCAATGTCTTACCCAGCCCATAAGGCTCTTGCCTATACCAGAAAAACGAACTGCTGCAATAGGTGCATGTGCAAGAGAGAGAGAGTTACCTTGAGTGCATGTGCAGTGAGAAGAACTCCTGCATTATTCTCCTTCAAATCGTCTAAAGCAAGCTTAATAGCTTTTCTGGTAAGACTTCGATCAAATTCAGTTCTTTGCTTAGCAGGAGGGATGATGACCCTGGTAGCGAGTCAAGAAATAGGCAGATACAAAGACATCATGCGATGTATGACCTAAGTATCTTTTAATCTACATGCATATTCCCAACCCAAATCAAATAGATAATGCATATGAAACGATGATGGATACCGTTTATGGTAACAGTGGAGGACAATATCAATATGGGAATATGGTGTCAAGTTCTCCCATTCGAGTGATGCATAGCCATCTTGTATCCCTATGCTCCTCAAAATCAGACCATAACTTTTCCAATCTATGCTCGCCAATGCACTCAGAGATGACTGGGAAATTGAGCAGGGTGAGAAGTCCTTGAAATATAAAACCTGGAAATGGATGCTATGAATCATCTTAATTTAACACAAAAAGTAATTGCATAAAATAGTTACAAGGGAACTAGTGAGGAAATTGTCCTACTCTTTGCAAAACAGATTTATCCAAACCAAAAAGTTACAAATAATCATCATAGCGATTTTTGAAAGAACTGATTTGAGAATTTAGTTTTCATGCTAATTATGCAAGTGTCAAGTAATAGTCATTTTACTCTGACCTCATTGGCTGAATGAGAATGCAAGTGTAAATTGGAAAGCTAATACTCTGTTTCACATGTTAACAAATTAAATATAGCCTGATACCCTTTGACCTGTTAGTCTTTTTAAGAAGCTCATAATACACATATTTAGCAGGTAATAACATACCTTTTTGCTCGGCAGTATGAAGTAAAACTACACCACTATACAGTTTATTCCTTGTGCTAATGCAACAGCCCAGATAATTTCTTCCTTCACTAACATCATAGGTGTGTTTCAGTATTGACCAGATTCAGGAAGATAAAAGCTAAAACACCAACCTCTGTTTTTGTCCCGCATGCCCTGAAGCAGGAGGGACTTGTTGGCTCGGATAACTGACTAATAATAATCACTGCTTCCATAACCTGTCCAGTACTTCTATGGTTTTCTTTACGGCAGGCTAACCCACTTCCGACCTTCAAATTTTCCCTTCTAGAGAGAGCAAAAAACAAGTTTGAAACTTCAATCAAGATTTAGGCTATATAAAGAAGCAAAACTTGAAATGTATTATACCAAAGCTTGGATGAGGACCTGACAGCCCCCCTACAAATCATTAAGTTTCTGTATTTTCAACACAAAAAATAAAATAAAATAACATAGTAGCAATCCCGAATAAATAAACACACACCAATCAACGATGGCACTAGCTTTCCAAATTGTAGAAAGGACTAAGTTTAATGTAGATGGCACAGCTGCCAAAAAATCAACGAAGAATAGGGCTCTTAAGATTGAGGAGTAGCTTTAAATGGAAGTGAAATCAGAGTGTCCCTAGATTTTGATCAGGTGATCATCAACCAGTGGTGTAATTACAGCACTCTTTCTGATTCTATTACGACCAATTGATATAAGTTCGATGTAATTAAAAGAACAAGAATCTAGCAATTGTCTATTTGAAACTCACCCACTTGAGAAACAAGAGTGACAAATATTTTTTAGACTATTTGCATGCTTGAAGACATAATCTTCGAGGCCTGACTTCAAAGAATCAATATNTCTTTCTGATTCTATTACGACCAATTGATATAAGTTCGATGCAATTAAAAGAACAAGAATCTAGCAGTTGTCTATTTGAAACTCACCCACTTGAGAAACAAGAGTGACAAATATTTTTTTGACTATTTGCATGCTTGAAGACATAATCTTCGAGGCCTGACTTCAAAGAATCAATATTTGATGAGGGTGAAGAAGAGAAAGTAATGCCCTCATTTGCTGAAACAAAATTCTCAGGTCGTGATCCATGACTATTACCACAGTCAACCACCAGTTCAATTGCTAGCTTCTGCAATAGAGTCAAGATATGATGAACTAGTAAGCACCAATATCCATATCGTTGAACATAACAATAANAGTCGTGATCCATGACTATCACCACAGTCAACCACCAGTTCAATTGCTAGCTTCTGCAATAGATTCAAGATATGATGAACTAGTAAGCACCAATATCCATATCGTTGAACATAACAATAACATTGTCTTACGCAGATGACATGGCTGGAGCATAGGAAGTGTAACAGACTGTGGAATTGAAGAATAATCAGATATTATNGGTCGTGATCCATGACTATTACCACAGTCAACCACCAGTTCAATTGCTAGCTTCTGCAATAGAGTCAAGATATGATGAACTAGTAAGCACCAATATCCATATCGTTGAACATAACAATAACATTGTCTTACGCAGATGACGTGGCTGGAGCATAGGAAGTGTAACAGACTGTGGAATTGAAGAATAATCAGATATTATGACGAAAAATAGAAAAGAAGAGTAGAAGTTCAAAAGGTATTAGAGTCAGTCATCCCATTGTCAGGAACATGAATCAATCTAATAGATCTCTCATCAGCAGGCATGACTGCTAGAAGCTAATCTTGTGTGTATTGCAGCTTTATACATGGTATGACCACCAATTGTTTAACTGACAACACTGGATCAAGAACGAAAATTTGCACCAATCAGATTATCTATCACCTCCACCCACAATTTCATGGATACCTGGGATGGCAACAACATGCTTAAGCAAGCAATGCGCGCAGATCATTCCACCNCACTGGATCAAGAATGAAAATTTGCACCAATCAGATTATCTATCACCTCCACCCACAATTTCATGGATACCTGGGATGGCAACAACATGCTTAAGCAAGCAATGCGCGCAGATCATTNTACATGGTATGACCACCAATTGTTTAACTGACAACACTGGATCAAGAACGAAAATTTGCACCAATCAGATTATCTATCACCTCCACCCACAATTTCATGGATACCTGGGATGGCAACAACATGCTTAAGCAAGCAATGCGCGCAGATCATTCCACCATCAAATGTGCATCGATTTTTCAGTGAAGGGTCCTAAAATGTCAGATCATCTTGACAGGCAGATTCAGTGAACCAATTTAAATTGACATCTACATGAATAAGGAAGAATATGGTACATTCAAATATATCTGATGCCTTTTACTGGACCACAAAGCAAGCCCCTTCTAAAACGGGTGCAGGCACTTGTGCCAAAANAGAAGGGTCCTAAAATGTCAGATCATCTTGACAGGCAGATTCAGTGAACTAATTTAAATTGACATCTACATGAATAAGGAAGAATATGGTACATTCAAATATATCTGATGCCTTTTACTGGACCACAAAGCAAGCCCCTTCTAAAACGGGTGCAGGCACTTGTGCCAAAAAGTTAGGAGTAAAATATCCAAATACAGCTAACAGACTACTAAAGTGGATTTTGGCAGGAGATTCAATCAAGGAATTTTTTGATGGAATTTGCGGGTAAGACACAACTAGGGCAATATATTTCCAGATGTCATAATGCATGAGCAACAATGCCAGTGTTCCCAATATTTGTTTTCACCTTCCATATTGGAATAGTAAGGGACTAAAATAGCTCTAACATGTACCACAATACAATTGTCTCAAGTAGAGTTATCAATATTTATGACAACACTGAATCTCCGAGAGCCAGCAAGCATTAGTAAAAGCAGAATCTGATTCATGATTATTCCAGAAAAACGCACAAAGGCCCCTGACAAAAGGAAACAAAATATGACTTTTAACATGAACGTAACATTGAGGAAATAAAGTACAAAATTGAACTTACAGGGACCTTCAAAATAAGCATCTGCACAAAAATCCCAATGGGAGAATTAGATTGAAATAAAGGGGGAATCGGTAGTGATTCACTAATTAAACAACCATTCCCTCTCTAGTTAAGGTTAAAAAATAGGACTGGAAGTTCAAAATATCAAGAGGGTTGCAGCATTTAACCTTTTGAAGAAAGCAAGTGACTAAGCCATCAGCAGTTTCAAGTGTGCTGAGTAATACTTCAGTCCCACTAGAAGGAAAACAATCAAGCAAATTCACATCAAGAAAGTACTGAAATGATTGACACAAAAGTTGGGGCCCATATCATGCCTGAATTTTGCACCATTCTTGGGTTTTGATGGTAGCTTTGCCAACCTTCTCGAGGAAACAATTTCTTTTACATTTAAATTGTATTGATGTATCTCATTCTCATGCATACCTGCCATAGTAGAACAAAATCACAGAGGAAGGTGAGGGACAGATGCAAAAGCTGCATACTAAAAGTAATCCTACAAATTTCGACTATTTACTCTGGATGGTAGCTTCAAACTCAGAAGTACATGTAAACTGCTTCTTGACTGTTCAACAAGGCTAAAACACTTTATTGAGAGAACTCTTTCCAGGGAACTATTTCTACCAAGTTTACAATGGTGAAAACATCTGTATTTTACAAATTGACAAGGATACCATTGCCAAAATCCAAGCTCAGCCTAAAACTAAATTCCAAAAAAAAAAATCGTAATATAAAAATCAAATTCTAATTAATTAACATGCACAAACCAGTTGGCTTGGCTCTGTCACTAGAGCATAGAAATCCTTCAAATTCAAGGAAAGAGGTATATAAGCAGGGAAATGCTGAATTATACATTTTTAAGTACTAAATACACCCAAGGATGAGGAACTTACTGGTAGTTGCAATAAAGATCAATCCATCTGCAATACAGAGANAATATAAGCAGGGAAATGCTGAATTATACATTTTTAAGTACTAAATACACCCGAGGATGAGGAACTTACTGGTAGTTGCAATAAAGATCAATCCATCTGCAATACAGAGAAGGCCACTAATCAAATAACCAATCTGACAGTAACATGAAAATATATGACAAAAATCAAACTGAATTGGCATCAAAGATAAAGCACCGCCAAAAAAGATAGTAATAGTTAAAGCTCGGCTATGTTCTAAAGTATCCCAGACTTGGGGGGTCATTAGAGACAACGTATAAACAAAATTACTTGGCAGTGGTCTGCATATCCGACGTTATGTAACATCACAAATTTTGGACATGAGATCAGTTGAAACAGTAATAGTTGGGCTAGTGGAAGACCAAACTAACTATGACTAAAATAGTTAAAAAGGACATGATAGCTTATGCTTTTACAAAAACATGATCCTTAATAGAACATAATGGCGTGTCGGAATTCATGTAGCCGACACCAAAAAAATTGGGGCAAAACTTTGTTGAGTTGAGTTGAGATCAGCTGGATAAATCTCAAAAGCTATAAAAAAGAACATGATAGTTTATAGTTTAACAGAAAGTATGACCGTGAATAGAGTATAATGGCCAATCGGAATTCATTCAGCCAATCCAAAAAAAATTAGGACAAAGTTTTGTTGAGTTAAGATTGGGTGAAGAATTCCAAAAGTTATTACTTTGCAAACAAGTGTTCTGAAAGGCAATAAAGAAATAGCAATGCTTGATTGCCCTTCTAAAAGGACTTAGCTGCCTCAGAATTTAAAGTAACATAACCTCAGGCTAAACTGAAAAAGAATGAGATTACATTGCACATCTAACAACCATAGAGGGGTATGCTCTGTATAATCTTGTACTTCCATAGCTACATCAGATGGACCGCAGAATATTCTAGCTGCATAAGATATCATATTCTGAACCGGTCTGCTCACTTTAGGATCAAGAAACAAAAAAAGCTAAATTGGGGAGGCCAAACTCTTGCAAATTGTTGATCCACATCACATTTTTTCCCAGGCAGTCGACTGATATGAAAACATTGGAGTGAACTGAAAGTACAGTCAGTGTAGGATTCTTTACCCCATTTTTCAAGAGAATTGGGACCGCTTGTGTATTTTAAGCCCTGATATTCCTCTAAACAGCTTCCAACACCTGTGTCTGAAACTGTTTCATCACAAAAACAACTTAACTCTGGGTTTTCCTCAAAACTCTAAGTCTTAAACATCAACCACAATACTTATTTTCAACTGAAGAACTGTTCAATCTCTAATTTTCAAAATTTCAATTGTAGTTGGTTTGTCCACAAAAGACAAATTTTGGAAGTTTATAAACGAATGACATTGTTAATTTGCATTTGTATTTGTCAATGCTGTATAAAATCTCAAAATGAAGTAATTGTTCACTTCCAGAAATTGTAGAAAACCATGAGCAACTGAAAACCATAAACGAGAAAAGGCGAACCGGCATGTGATAGAATAGTGAAGGAAGAAATCATGAGTGATGTGATGATTTCTCTTCATTAATGCTGAGGAGGAAAATCAGGAGACATAATAAACAGGTAGAAAACAAAGAAGAACTTTCGAAGCACGTCTTGGCTTTCCAGTTTTCCCATTTCTTTTCTTTCAGACTCAGGCTACTTTGAAAGGGAGAATCTGATCACCAGTTTGTCTCTGGGAAAGGCATTCAACATGTAGAGGGAAAAGCGCAGAGAGAGTGACTGGGATAGTCAGGGTGGACATNAGGCTACTTTGAAAGGGAGAATCTGATCACCAGTTTGTCTCTGGGAAAGGCCTTCAACATGTAGAGGGAAAAGCGCAGAGAGAGTGACTGGGATAGTCAGGGTGGACATGAATTTAAGAGGTTTGGTGCAGAATTTCATGCTCCAAACACCGACTATAGTGTTCCATCCTCCTCAACAGGCAAACCTCCTGGCTGTCTATACACCCCGACCTCCTTTACCATTGAATGGTCATTTAGAGGTCTTTGCTGATGATCCAAGCTGTTTCCCTCTCGACGATAAAGCTTATCCCCCTCATCTCACTGGCTGACCTTTGGGTGCAGAATTTCATTCTCCAAACACTGACTATTGTGTTTCATCCTCTCAACAAGATGATGCTTAGTGTTTATCACACGCGGATGACTGACATCGTCAACTTTTTCCTTAATAGATCTAATCACGCTGAGTAATTTAGGCAAAATTTTGCCAGCAAATCATTCGTGGCTTTGAACTAGTTTATTTATTCCTATTTATTTTCTTATTTACGTCAATTTTCAAAGCTGGAACCCGGCACAACCAAAACAGATAATCGAGCAGGTAGCTTCTAAGAAAAATGTTCAGCTGTTCATTTAGCTAACATCGATTAAATCTGATTCGTAGAGAATTAACACACGCATGTAATTATCTGCATACATTGATTAATTTGATACTAGAGAGAGAGAGAGAGAGATACTTGAGATTCGAAGAAGAGGAGGATTGGAGAGAGGAGNATGATTAATTTGATACGAGAGAGAGAGAGAGAGATACTTGAGATTCGAAGAAGAGGAGGATTGGAGAGAGGAGATGATTTCAGAACAACGGATAATCTGCAAAGCTCATCGGACATACGGCATCTTTGAATTGCACACGAAATTAACTGTGAAAAACAAGTAGCAAAAACAGTGGACTATAAGAAAAGAAAATCATGAAACAACGGATTCGAAATTGCTGAAATGAACAGTAATTCTGAGTTCTTTGAGATAAACACTCACATATCGACAGAGCTCTTGAACAGAGGATACCTCCATTACTACACCTTAGCCGAGAGAGAGTTCCCGCGCACTTGGAAAATTTAACCTCTTCCTTTTAGTTTTTTCATTATTTAAAGCAAGTTGAAACGACTCATGAGTCATGCCAAAACGCACATACTCCCGGTCCTTATCCGCATTGGTATATTTTGCATGTTACTGAATTATTCAAATTTTTTGATATTTAAAATATTAGATACAAATTTCCCAAATTTTACATGCACGTAATATTTAAACGGTTGATGTAAATATATCAGTTAATTAATTATATTTAGATCTCTTGAAGTTTGTAATTATATAATAATTAGGCTCCTTAAATTTAAAATATTATACTTAGACAAAAAATACTTTAATCAAATATAAAATATTAAATATTTTAAATTTTACAACAAAAATTTATATTTTATTGTATCATTTATTAAAATAAAATTAAAAATTTTAATTTTAATTTTTTTCTTAAAAAATCGTAATTAATATAAAATTATACTATCTATTGAAATAAAATTAAAAAATCAAATAAGAGGTCTAAATCATTTATAATAGAACATGAATTTTACATCCAAAATTCATGTTCTATTATGTCATTTATTGAAATAAAATCAAAAATAAAAGTCTAGTTTTTTTAAAAAAAATCATAGTTAGTATATAATTATACTATCTATTAGAATAAAACTAAAAAAATTAAATAAGGGATCGAACTGTAACAGACACAATATCTTTTAACTTTAATTGGTATTTTGATTTGGTCGTTTAAGTGACCAAATTATTTTTCAATAGATAATATAATTGTATACTAATTAAAAAATTTTAAGAAAAAATTTGAATTTTTATTTTTGATTTTAATTCAATAAATAATACAATAAACATGAATTTTGGTTATAAAATTTAAAATATTTGATATTTTATCTTTGATTACAGTTTTTTTTGTCTAAGTATAATATTTTAAACAGAGGCCTAAGTGTTATGTGCGTACAAACCTCATGAGGTCTGTGTATAATATTTCAAATATCAGAAAGTTTAAGTGATTAAGTGACAAATTTCAGACGCGGTGTGATTCTCCCAAAAAAAAAAAACTATACATACGTAACAATGTTTTCAAATAACACCTCTTTGACTGATTCTTTTGGTGAGGAAGGACCCGTGGTTAGTGCATTGAGAAATTGGATTTAAAATTTTGATAAAATGACATTTAGATTTATCATGGATCTCATCAAATATTAAAAATTATTTTTTATTAAATGATGCTAATAAAATCACATCACTAAATCAATAAATAAATTTATATTTTTAAATTTAAATAACACTACAAATTTATATTTATATTTTTTAAATGTAAATTTAAATTCTATGTTGTAGTGCCCTTAGATACCTACTCTATTTCTCTCTCTCCCTACATAACATTAAAAGGCTTTTGTGTTGTGTAAACTCGGTGTTGATTCCTATTTGTGTAACAACACTATACTACTTGAGCAATTAAAGAAAAGACGTTGATTTGAATTTTAAAGTACGTGGAACATCCTCAAACGATTTTTTTAATTAAACCGATAAAAGTATGTCTTTAATCCTACGCTTCCGCAATATGTTATATGTTTTCCGACATTTGTATCAGAGTCATTTAAGGTGTTCTCGTACCTTTGGAATCAATTATCAATTGTTTAAAAAAAAAAATGATCTTTGGTACCCCAAAACAAAAGTCAGTCGACGTTGGTAATTGGATTCTATCCCAGATGTTGTAACGAATAATGTTAGAATTCATAATATTTGGAAGGGGTTTATTTCTTCAGTCAACTTATTGACAGAACTCATAGTTTTGGCAGAACAAATATTCAATGCAAATGGCTTCTACTCTTGGGATCCACTATTTTCTTATTGTCTTCTTGTTTACGGGTGACAAATACAAAATCTAAAAGAAAACTTAATAAAAAAAAAGTTGTTGCAGGTTGATCATGAGGAAATGGTCTTGTGGGACCCATTGTTTTAGTTACATTATTTAAAAAATAAAAACAAAAATGAGAACAATTGAAATTGTTCTTGCCCAATAGCAAAAAAAAAAAAAATTTAGTTGTAGCACGATGTACATTGACCAGTAGCATTAACAATTTAAAATAATATCCATATTATTTTTGGCTTGGGTTTTTAGTGCATATGACTCTTGAATTAGTATTATCAATGCTTTAATTATTTAAAGTTCTTTTAAAAAAAATATGAGATAAATGTATTTTTTTTTTCTATCTAGCCTATTGATATGTATAGAAAAATATTAGCATGCTTGTTATGCTAGTTGCATTCATTTCATTGTTTAGCGCAATTTAAATTAGAATTTCATATATAGTATTATTTAAATTGCATATTCTTTTTATTTAAAGTGGAAACATGCATGATATGAAATTAGAGATAATCAGTATGCCTACAGATACTAGATCTAATGGGAGTTTTTTTTTATTTTGTTCGGTCTTAGAAAATCGAAATTTTGCACAATAATTAAATTAAGTATTATTTAATTATCACCTGTGATGCGGGAGATGATTGAGAACTTAATGAACTTTCAATCTCGCGACTTATGAAAATTGTTAATACTTGAATTTAGATTTTTGCGGCAAAATTATAGAATATGTTGTGCTAATATCCCATACACATTGTCTCTGCATGTAGATTAAATTATAATGACTACTAAAAGCATAGTGGCTGAATTAACTAAGGGCAACAAATTGAACGACGATAATTATGGCATATGGCGTCGTAAGATTCAATTTGTCATGTATGAGCAACAAGTATTGGATACCCTTGACTCTGTGCTGCCAGAGCCTGAGCGACCTCAAATCCGCCAAAAACAAGAGAATTTTCAGTCATGGCAGAATAAGGATCGACTTGCACGCTATACCATGCAAGATGATCTTATTCCTGAATTTTAGAATTACTCTACAGCTCACGCCATGTGGAAGGCCCTCAAAGAGAAGTTTGGTATTACTTCCCTTGTTAGGCTTCGTGGTTTGACCATGAGGTTTGACTCATATCAAAAGAAGCCAGAGCATACAATGAAACAACATCTGAGGGTTATGGTCTCTATGATATGTGATTTAGGCGCTGCTGGTCATGTGTTGACTAATGAACAACAAGTTCAAGCTGTACTTCGCTATCTTCCACCATCCTGGGAGCATATGAAACGAAACATGACGCATAATGAGAGTGTGAAAACATTCGAGAATCTATCGCGTCACCTTGAGCTTGAGGCTGAGCGCTTAGAGGCTACCAAAGGTGAAAGTAACTATTATGTGGCTAAAGTTGGCTCGTGCAAGAGCGGTGAAAATAGATCTGATGCTCAAATGGAGGCTGGTCATTTTAATTATAACAAGCACAAGCGGGGTAAAAGAGCTGGTAAGAAGAATAAAGCCAACATGATTTGCTATAACTGCAACAAGAAGGGTCACTTCGCTCGTGAATGCACTNCCTTTAGGTTCAAGTGCAAGAGCGGTGAAAATAGATCTGATGCTCAAATGGAGGCTGGTCATTTTAATTATAACAAGCACAAGCGGGGTAAAAGAGCTGGTAAGAAGAATAAAGCCAACATGATTTGCTATAACTGCAACAAGAAGGGTCACTTCGCTCGTGAATGCACTGAGTCGAAGAAGGTACTTTCTAGTTCTGTCTCTCGCATTGACTGTTTAGTTACTAGTCAAGTTTTTGTTGCTCACTCTCCTAATTTGTGGATTGTAGACTCAAGAGCAACAGACCACATAACAAGACACAGATTCGGATTTGTGGAGTACCGTCGAGTTCTAGCTGGAAGCAAACGAGTTTACATGGGGAATGAGACTAGTATAGATGTGCTTAGGATTAGCACATACAAACTGGAATTGCGACACGAGTGCACTTTATACCTTCATGATGTATTATATGCTCCAAGAATCCGACGAAATTTGTTGTCAGTTACTAGCTTAATGAGACTAGGTTTTATTTTTCGTTTTGAAAGCCAGCATGTTGGTGTTTATAGGGGAACTACATTCTATGGATCTGGTTATATCACAGATGATTTTATTGTACTAGATATTGATCATTCTAGTAATGAAATTTATTCTTATGTTACATCTATGAATAATGTTGATTCTATTAGATGACATGCTAGATTAGGTCATATTGGGCAAGACAGAATAAATATATTATATAGAGAGGGATTTTTAGGCCTACTCGCTAAAATTAACTTGCCCACATGTAAAAATTGTCTCGTAGGTAAGATAACTAGAAAACCATTTGGTAAGGCCAAAAGAGCATCTATTCCATTGCAATTAATACACTAAGATATATGTGGCCCAATGAATGTGAAGGCAATACATGGTGCATCCATTTTATCACTTTTATAGATGACTTTACGCGCTTCAGTCATGTCTATTTGATTTCTCACAAGTCCGGAGCATTGGATTGCTTCACACGTTACATTAAAGAGGTTGAGAATCAACGAGACAATAACATTAAGGTTCTTAGAACTAATCGAGGTTACGAGTATCTATCTGAACAGTTTAAAGAGCTGTGTGAAGAAAAATGAATAATTAGGCAATACCTGGCACTCTGCAACAAAATGGTGTAGTGGAGAGACGAAATCGCACCTTGCTTGATATGGTTTGGTCTATGATAGCACAAGCTCATCTTTCGATTTCATATTGGAGAGATGCTTTATTGACTGCTGCTTATATTCTTAACCGAGTGCCTTCTAAATCAGTTTCTCATAACCCCATGTGAGTTATGGACAGGCACAAAACCTGATTTAAATAATTTACGATCATGGAGTTCAGCGGCTTATGTACACAATACTTCTCATAAATATGGGAAGTTAGGTCCTAGAGGGAAGAAGTGTATCTTCATCCACTATTATAAGCACTCTAAGGGCTATGTGTTTATATGTGAATAGCTTGATGGAAGAGTAACTGAAATTGAGTCACGGGATGCAATTTTTCTTGAAGAGAATTTCCATAGCAGAGGAGATGTGTCTAAAGGAATAGAACTCTATGAGTTAGATGATCCCCAAAGAGACATATCCACTAACCAAGTAGAGATTGAGAAAATAGTTTCATCACCTCCTAGGGACAGTGGGAGCAATATACTTAATGGTGTATCAGTGTCAATGGATGTAGATCCATACGACACAGAGTTACGTAGGAGCAAGCATGGAACCATCCCTCGACGTCATCTTGAGATTGAAGGGGAAGTTTTCATGGTTGCTCCACATGATGATGCTAAACCTAAAAATATTAAAGAGGCTCTATCATCACCTGCTAGTAATGAGTGGATAGTTGCAATGAATGACGAGATGAAGTCAATGAAGGCTAATCAAGTCTGGGACTTGGTTGACCTTCTGCCTGGGCGCAAGGCCATTGGGAACAAATGGGTTCTCAAAATTAAGTACAAGGCGAATGGGTCCATAGAAATGTATAAGGCTCCCCTAGTGGCAAAAGGTTACACCCAAAGAGAGGGTGTGGACTACAAGGAAACTCTTTCTCTAGTTGTAAGGTTGGCCTCGATTCGAATAATTCTAGCTATTGTCGCACATTTGGATTTAGAATTATATCAGATGGACATTAAAACTGCATTTCTTAATGGAGAACTGGATGAGGAAATCTACATGGATTAACCTGGAAGCTTCGTGGTGGTGGGTCAGGAGAACAAAGTTTGTAAACTCCAACGATACATTAATGGCCTGAAGCAATCATCCAGACAATGGTATTTAAGGTTTCATCGAGCTATCACTTCTAATGAGTTTACGATAATCGATGAAGACCATTGTGTGTATGTTAAATGATCTAAAGATAGCTTCTTGATTCTATCTTTGTATGTTGATGATATTTTATTGGCTGAAAATAACAAGGAGATGATTATCACTACTCAAAAGTGGTTGTCCTCAACATTTGAGATGAAGGACTTGGGTGAAACAAGTTATGTGCTCGGAGTTAAGATCATAAGGGATCATTCTAAGAAACTTCTTGGTTTGTCTCAAGAGACTTACATTAAGAAGGTTCTTGAACGATTCCAGATGCATAACTACAAACTCATAGACACTCCTGTAGCGAAAGACGAGAGCCTAAGTCTAAAGATGTGCCCTAAGTCTCCTGAGGAAAAGGAAAAGATGGCTCATTTTCCCTATGCCAGTGTTGTAGGTAGCTTAATGTACGCTATGATGTGTACCCGTCCCGATATTTGCTATGCGGTAGGCCTAGTTAATCGTTTTCAGTCAAATCCTAGAATAGCTCATTGAAAGGCAGTCAAAAGGATACTACGATATCTCAAAGGGAATTCAAATTATATGTTATGCTACCAGTCTCTAGATTTACGAATGGTTGGTTATAGTGATGTTGATTGGAGTGGTGATATAGATGAACGCAAGTCCACATCAGGATATGCTTTCTTACTTAATGGTGGGGCCATTACATGGAGTAGTTAAAAACAATCATGCATATCCTTATCCACCATGGAAGCAGAATGCGTGGCTGGTTCGGCTACTGTACAAGAAGTTGTTTGGTTAAGAAGGTTCTTTCAACATCTAGGAGTTGTCACAAATACCTTGGGCCCAGTGACGATTCATTGTGATAACATGGCTGCATTAGCTTATGCTAAGGATCCTAAGTATCAGGGAAGAATCAAACACATAGATCTAAGATATCATTACATCAGAGACATGATTGCACAAAAAGAAGTAGTCTTGAAACACATACCTACAACTCAGATGGTTGCAGACCCCCTAACTAAGCCTATAGCTAGAGATGTGTATATGACTCATGTTAGAACTCTAGGACTTCGTAGGTATTGATTATGTGCTAGAGATTGTATAGATCAGACAGTCATTTGTATTGACATTTTTGGGATATTAATACATGGCTTTAATTGCAATTAAATGTTATATTGCTTGATTACCTTGATATTTGAGAAAGCACACACATTAAGTATGTTAGCAGGCGTGATTGTCTCACTCACACAAGCAATCACCTTTGGCGCTTGATATGGCGAGCAAAGATGAGATACTTTAGCATATAGTATTGCTCTGTTTTGGATACAGAATGAGATCTGACATTTAAGGATCGATAATGGACACAACTCCATGTCCATTATGCCTGTGTTTGATTAGCCAGATGCAAGATCTTAATTTGGTGTCTTTGAAGGGCGAGCAAATAGAGAACTTGGGTTAGACGCTTGTAGAGCGACTAGACTAAGATCTGTACGGTGTCTGAGTATGACATACGCTCTCATTAGGATCGAGATACTCCGCCGTAACATGTATTTCATACAACATTTGCTTGGTGACAATTAAGGAGTTGAAGGAATGGATCCCTGCTTCCTCACTGTGTGAGCCCTCTGAGTCATTTTTAACATGACCAGGTTATTTTGTTTAGCCAAACATTCTATGCACTCTTTGACTTTTGACTATGTCATAAAGTGAAAGAATTAATGTTCAGCTACTTTGGCATGTTACTTATGGCCATGAGTGATTCGGCCTTCCAGGACATTGCTGGGAAAGCGGTTAATTTTGAACTAAGTGACATAAGGGTGAAAGGAAAACCGTTTGGAACATCCCGCAATATATTCATTGTCGACAACTTTGGGCGCTAATTTAGATAGTGACAAAGTGTGAATATATATAGGTGAAGACTTCGAGGGATTATGCATGCTCTTATATTGAGAGGGATTCGAGATGCTTGAACCGGTGTATCCGAATGGATCTAGAGTACTTGAGACACCATTTTCATTTTTTTTTGGGGTTGATGTCTCTATGTTGGCTCTGTATAGTTTCTAGTGTAGAGCTCCCAAATTGCAAGTATGCTTAGTGGTCGCACGACCCATTATCCTATATGAATTGATGTTGATGTATATAATAGATTGAGAGAGATGACAGTGTCGTACCCACCACGTGCGAGTGGGAGATGTTGGATATTGGTTGGGTCCTGAACCCAAATCGGGGCGCCCATGGTGGGTTGACCCAAATTAAAAGAATGACCAAAGAAACATGTCTTTTGGAGATATCCTTTACCAAAAAGGTATCATTCACCCAAAATACATGTCTGCTAAATATTAACAGACATATTCCTATATGAAGTATTTCTTAATGACACCTATTGGTTGCCTATATAAACCCAAGGTAATCCAATAGATGAGACATCTTAGCTACTTAATCTATTTCTCTCTCTCCCTACATAGCATTAAAATGCTTTTGTGATGTGGAAATTTGGTGTTGATTCCTATTTGTGTAACAACACTATACTGTTCGAGCAATTAAAGAAAAGACGTTGATTTGAATTTTAAAGTACGTGGAACATCTTCAAACAATTTTTTTGATTAAAGCGAATAAGGTACGTCTTTAATCCTACACTTCCACAATATGTTATATGTTTCCCGACACATACAATTTAAGTTTGACAATTTTTAAAAACCTGCAAGCATACAAATTAGGCATAATCCAGTAATTACTGAGACAAAGAATTACCCTTAACAGTTTCAATTTTGGATGTATTCTAGACCAACCATCTAATGATCTCTTTACATTAAATAATTCCTCGTCATTATCTGGGTCATTATCTAGCCCAGAATATCAATTATCAACATACACCTCAACCCCCAATGTTGGTCTTTTCCCCCGGCCATGGTCTTGGACACTAACTGTGGGATTAAAAATGTCATCATCATCACCTTCAAGATCTTCATATTGCCAACTTGGATCATCACTGACCTCATTAGTGTAAGTTCCATCAGTAGAAACAACACCAGTTGGAACATAATCTGGGTCCTCAGAATCAGTATCTTCATTTTGAGGACCACTAATCTCACTATCAGCATCAATAGCTACATGTTGTGAACTAGCTTCAATCAACCCATCACCCACACCCTCAATGCCAGTTTCATTGTGCCTCACAGTCTGGCTCTCTTTGGTTTTTATGACACTAGGACTTGGCAAACTGTCAGCGTCTGCAGATAAAACAACAATAGGATCCTCAACCTACTCATCACACATCAAATTACTAGCAGCTCTGTGTACTAATGAATCATTTTCATAATATCATCATCTGTCAATATCCTTCTCAAAACCATGCCCAAACTNGGCAGCTCTATGTACTAATGAATCATTTTCATAATATCATCATCTGTCAATATCCTTCTTAAAACCATGCCCAAACTGAAATCCGGAACCCTATACTGTGACATATATATCTGTAATTTATATTAATTATAATTTATCTCCATTACAGTCTTCAACATAAGTTACCTTCCCACGTTCATAGCTAATTTGTGGCTTCCAAACAACCTCATAATGCAATTTGATAATAAACATGTGGTCATCCATCCTACATTAAGCATATTCTTTTATTTTTTACAGCCTCACATGCAAAGGGGACAACAAAATTTGGGATCACTTAAACTACTCATGAGCATCACAAGTAGAAAATTTGATAAATCATAAACAANAGCAGCTCTGTGTACTAATGAATCATTTTCATAATATCATCATCTGTCAATATCCTTCTCAAAACCATGCCCAAACTGAAATCCGGAACCCTATACTGTGACATATATATCTGCAATTTCTATTAATTATAATTTATCTCCGTTACAGTCTTCAACATAAGTTACCTTCCCACGTTCGTAGCTAATTTGTGGCTTCCAAACAACCTCATAATGCAATTTGATAATAAACATGTGGTCATCCATCCTACATTAAGCATATTCTTTTATTTTTTACAGCCTCACATGCAAAGGGGACAACAAAATTTGGGATCACTTAAACTACTCATGAGCATCACAAGTAGAAAATTTGATAAATCATAAACAATAAGTCATAAACAAAAAAAATTGGGACCACTAACACAAACAGTTGCATAAACATTTGCATAAATCGTAAACAATAAGCCATAAACAATTAGTTGGCATTTGAATAAAATACAAAATCTGAGACCACTGACACTAAAAAGAGAAATCATAAACAACACAATCAGGGACCACCAACATTGACATAGATAAATCATAGACAACAAAATGTGGGACCTACGAATAAACAAATGCATAACTCACCTTTTTTTTCTTTCTAATTGCATAATATAAACTTGAATCGATCTCTCTGGTAGACAATAAAGCATAGAAATTCGACTAACAGTATCTTCAAGATTGACTCAAATATAGACTCAAATTTAAATTTGAGTCAAAATGGCTCAAAAAATTTCTCCAACCTTAGATTCAAATCTAAACCAAATCAAGGCAAAATTTATTCTAAATCCAAATTGAAGCAGACTTAAATTTTATACCAAATTTTTAACGGTAACTTTTTAACTTATTCAAAACTAAAAGATTTATTTGACGACTTGTTCTCTGACTCTCTCTACTATGCTGCTTCTATCGTCGACCACTACCGAAACTTTCACATATCATTTGAAGACATGTAAGTAAATTTTTTACTTTTCATCTTCCGTCTTATTGATGTCTTGTATTTTTCAAAACTCTAATCTTATCCACCTTTCATACTATATAAACTCTAAGCCTACCCATCAAATTTTTCTTTGATTTTTTATGTTAAACATTATCGGTAGTACAATTTCNCTAAGCCTACCCATCAAATTTTTCTTTGATTTTTTATGTTAAACACTATCGGTAGTACAATTTTAGAGTACAGAGTACCGATACTTTCTGAAATTCTAAGCCTTCACAAACTCACAAATTTAGAAAATTTGACATTTTATTTTTTCAATATTCCATTTCTGTTAAAAACATATATTTTTGTGTTCTTCAGATCAAGCCTATATCAAAATAGTTTATATATTTTTCTTTTTTCTTTTTCTTTATCTGAATTTATAAAAAATAATGAGTGATTAGAACAATTTTAAAATTCTAGGGTGGTTTCTTTATTCACATGTAGTGTTATATACATATTCATATTTTTTTTGAATTGCTCATTTGTGGAGAGATATGAAAGTTTTCATTTATTTTATCAAATATTATGATTTGAATGACAAAAAAAAAAAGAGTTTTGGGGCAATAAGGGAATATTTTGAAAGATTTGAGTAGATATTTGAGTTTGTTCCATTATAGTACTCTATGCCAAATCAAGTTTTTTGCTCAAATTTAGACTCAAATATGAATCTAAATTTGAGTCATGGTATGAAATGCTCTAAAGAGACCTTAATCTGAGTAAACCCTAATTTTTCCCTAATTTTCTTCCAGCTTTTGACCCAACCCAAGTGGTTGTAAAAAAATATTCACAAAAGAGGGTGGGTTTAAAAGTATTTTCTAAATCTGGGAATTTTTAAAAACGTCATTTGGTTTGACGTTTTTAGGCCAAAATATGTTTAGTTGATCTAACGTTTTTAGCCTAAAAATGCCAAATTAACTAACGTTTTCTGAAAAAATCGTAGGTAATTTCATCACCTAAAAACGTCAGTCCATTTAATGAATTTTAGTTAAAACGTCAAATGGACTAACGTTTTTATCTCATCCCAAATCCTTCTCTCCTTTATTTCCTTCTTCCCCCAAAATTATTTGAGCCCTAAAATCCTTCAGGCAACCCAGCAGCAACCAACACCATCGACATCCCCACCAACCCTAACCTCCTTCAAACGAACCACCAGCGACCACCACCACCAAATTGGAACCAAGGAGCACCCAAGCTCCTTCAGGCGACCCAGTAGGGACCACCACCACCGACAACTCCACCACCCCTAACCTCTTTCAGGCAAACCACCTCCTTCAAGCGAAAAAGGTTAGAATTGATTGTTTTAATTTCTAGTTATGATTCAGAGTTTGAGCATTTCATAATGTAGAACTGAGCCATTGAATGGAAAATGTGGCTGTTTGTTACTTTTCCTGGATGATTAACACTTTATCTATGGGTTAAAGTAGTTCACCAGCAAGNTCCATTGAATGGAAAATGTGGTTGTTTGTTACTTTTTCTGGATGATTAACACTTTATCTATGGGTTAAAGTAGTTCACCAGCAAGTTATATTGANGCCATTGAATGGAAAATGTGGCTGTTTGTTACTTTTCCTGGATGATTAACACTTTATCTATGGGTTAAAGTAGTTCACCAGCAAGTTATATTGAGTGGGTGTTGGGCATTGATTTTTCATTTGGGAGACTTGAAGAGTGTTCAATGCCAAATTTTTTGGAAAAAAAAATGGACTAAGGAAAATAAATTAGATTAGCAAGGCTAATACTTTAAACGAAATTGGGCTAATTGATAGTTGTTAGTCATATGCAAGAAGCGAATATCCACTTATGGGTTGGCAGCTGAAAGTGTGGTGGGAGGAGTAAATCCAAGTTTTGTTACACCCTTCGAAGTTACCCATGAATCTCCCCTGAACTATTTTTTCTTTGATTGGTCTTCTTTCCTTAAAAAATAATTACCTGTGTGATGCATCTGCCTTTGTGTTTCTAAAATATTGCAATTCTAATATTACTACTTGATATTTCTTTCATGTGGAGATTTTTGGTGGTTTTTTGTGTGTGGGTTCCATGTCTATGTAATTAAGGAAAGCACAGACCTCTATATGTACTTGATATGATAGCGTTGAAATTGAATGACTGATTGTATGTTCATGAAGAGTAAGCTTTCAGCTCTGGGTGTAGAGTGGATGACTATTTAGCATTGCGAGTGGGCAAACAATGGCACTTGTTGTAAGTGCCTGGGCCCAGTATTAATAAGCATTCTGCTTTGGGCATTTAGTGGAGCATTTTATAGAATTCTTAAACACTGGCACTTGGTTGTGAATGCTTTAGTCCAAAGCTAATAGGCAACATGATGATTAACTGCTAAGCAATCATACTTCTATATGGACGAAGGAAGCATTATGTTGTCTTGGCATGTCTGATTTTTTTGTTTACTTGTGCCATTTTGTGTGGTGTGCCTGGATTTGATGGGGGAATAGCTTCTTGGAGTAAATCGCTTGGCATACAATATGACAATTATAAGGATGCATAAAATTTGTGTTTTCAAAGAATATGACAATCAAGGTTTATCTATTATTGATAATTCTAGTATCCTGGTTGCAGTATAATTTGCATGGATATTGAGTTGAATATTGAAATTGTTTTGAGTTTCAAACCGGCCACTTTTCTTTTTCATGCTCAGAGTTCTTGTTTTGAGAATAATGAGTTGAGTTTCTGTGGGGCATTCAGGAGTTTTGCCTCACTAGATGATTTATGGAGTTGAACTTAATGTCAATATTACTATTGTTGGTTTTACTTGCTACAANTTTTGCATGGATATTGAGTTGAATATTGAAATTGTTTTGAGTTTCAAACCGGCCATTTTTCTTTTTCATGCTCAGAGTTCTTGTTTTGAGAATAATGAGTTGAGTTTCTGTGGGGCATTCAGGAGTTTTGCTTCACTAGATGATTTATGGAGTTGAACTTAATGTCAATATTACTATTGTTGGTTTTACTTGCTACAAGTATAGTGATTTCATTACCCCTTTCTTCCTGTGGCAGATGCCTAGTTGAAACTTTGATTTCCTGGTGCAATTCTCAAAACAAATAATACACGCCTTTTCGATAGTCCGCTAGAGATTATTTTACATCTCTTTGTCCTTCCCTCTATGCCACTTCTGTTTTGGAAGAACAAGTTGGTTTGCAAATTGGTCAACGAATTGCCAGTGTGGAACAAATTTANTTGAAACTTTGATTTCCTGGTGCAATTCTCAAAACAAATGATACACGCCTTTTCGATAGTCCGCTAGAGATTATTTTACATCTCTTTGTCCTTCCCTCTATGCCACTTCTATTTTGGAAGAACAAGTTGGTTTGCAAATTGGTCAACGAATTGCCAGTGTGGAACAAATTTATAACATGAAGTTTTTTTTAGATTTGTTTCGGCTTGATGATGAGTGCTCGATGATATTCATGAGTTAATTCCATGTTGCTTAAACTTAAATCAGTAATTTATTTTGTTATATTTGTTTGTGGCAGGTGTGGAAGGTACAAGATAATTGTGTTACTGAATTGTGGCAGTTGTGTTGGTCTATCAAAAAGAAAAACAACTCGGAACATGATTTTTNGGGCAGGTGTGGAAGGTACAAGAAAATTGTGTTACTAAATTGTGGCAGTTGTGTTGGTCTATCAAAAAGAAAAACAACTCGGAACATGATTTTTTTTCTTAATTTCTTGTATCTAAAGTTGTATATATTTTAAATACAACTCAATTGCTGAAGTTTTTTTCTTTTGGAATGTAAACTGTATTCACACATTCATGTATGCAAATATGTCAAAATGTACAAGTCAAACCCAAGAAGCATAGAGTACTATTGAAATGGTTACATGATTAATCCAATTTTTACCGGACAAATATCCTCTATAAAACA